CTGGCCTGTACCCCAGTTCTGTATGCACACATAAACAAATCTTTAAAAAAAAAAAAAAACTCATTGAAACAGAGATCAGTTTGCTGGTTGTCAGAGGTAGTACCTACAGGGTGGGAAAAATTGGTTGAAGTGTCAAAAGGTACAAAGTTCCAGTTATAGGTGCAATAAATTCTGGGGCTGCAATCTACAACAAAGTGACTACAATTAACAATACTGTACTGTATATTTAAAAATTCTTCCTATGTGCGCGCACACATACACTATTACTATGTGAAGTAATGTTAACTAAACTTAGTATGACAATCATCTCCTAGTATATACGTCTATTTAGTCATTATATTGTGCACCTTAAATTAATACAATGTTATATGTCAAGTACATCTTAATACAAGTGGAAAAATATAAACAAAATTTTACTGTCAAATTTTAAAGATAAAATTTGCCTTAGATTGAAAAATCTCATGTATCCACCCATCTTCCCTATGAGCAAAAATTCAAGAGTACTGGGCAAAATTTTAGCTATGGAGCAAAACTTGTCTTGGTTTACAACCTACTAGCTCATACATGAAATTAGCTGACTTTGGTACTTTTCATATACATAATAGTCTATTATAAACAGCTGAACCAAAATAAAGATAACAAAAATAAATGAATAATCAATTTTCAAGCTATGAAATATAATGCATAATTATTTATAAATGAAAAGTTATGAAAAAACACAAGCAGTTTTTCACTGGGATATATTACATGCAAGTGTTGACTATAAAATGTACATGAATTTAAAGACTACAAATTTCAATACTGTAAAAGAGGATAATTATACACAGAAACTACATTGACATTTTCCAGTTAGTTGAATCAGCGATAAAAATCAACTGCCTGGAGGTCTTACTTCTTTGAGTATTTCCTCTAAGATTTCAGCACATTTTTCATATGGTTGTTCAAAGTTCATGTCCTTTGTCATTGCTATCGTTTCCTCTATCATGGAAAGGACCTCTGGATGATCTGCAGTTACCGTTTCGATTAAGTCTTCTATTGAATCTGAAGTAAGATAAGTTATAAATTAATTTCATTAGTAATTTTAGAGGACAATACTATTTGTAATACAACATAATTATTAATACCTGACCCAAGACAGTACTAATTTTGTGCTGCAGCATCATATAGTAAAAGAGGAAAACAAATCAGGAGTCGAGGTTAAGTCAGGAGTCACAAAATATAAGAGCACTGGCTTAAAGACGGTGCATCATAATGAAAATGAATGAGGCACAAAGAAAGTAATACAAGGCAAGAATCAAATCCTGTAAGCCCAGGAGAAAAGGTAGGAACCAAAGAATTCCAGAGGTCCAGCTAAAACACTCATCTAGGGGATGAGTGAGAAAATAAGACAAACACTTCCAAGATGAAAAAGTAAGAAGACAGGCCCTCCCTGGTGGCGCAACGGGTTAAAGCACAGCACTGAGAAGCTAAAGCCACTTCCACATGAGTTCGATCCCCGCCTTCCCCGGAGGTGACCACATGGTGTGGCAGACCTCCCCTGGCCCGCCCGCTGCTCCCCTCAGCAGTGTACTTCGTTGATCTGCCTGTTCTGCTCCCCGCTCTGTCTCTGGTGAAGTCTCTCACTGCCCCTGAGTCTCTGGCCTGTACCCCAATTCTGTATGTACAAATAAATAAATCTTTTTTAAAAAAAAAAAAAAGTAAGAAGACAAGGAAGCAGGCAAGTTGGAAGGAATTGGAAGATGAATGGCATAGGCTGTTTCTCAAGTGTTACATCTGATTCCAGCCCTAACTGGATACTGAATGCCTCCTTGCTTGGTTTTGTTGATGCACAGGCTGTACCACGATGCAAATGTTCATGTTCTTCTGTTGCAGAATATTGGCAACTCCATCTACCTTCCCTACTCACACTCTGTAGTTGTGCTTTCCAAGCTTCTGTCCCAGGTTCCATCCATCAGAATGTCCTGCCAGAATCTAGTTGATCCCCACTCTCCCTAACTTCCCCCAAATCCCAAAGGGTCTTCAAATCCCAAAGGGTCTTCCCTCCTGTAAAGTGAGATGTCTATGCTCAGGAATGGAGAGTGCAAGCCGTTCCAGAGAGACAGCATGGGAGAAGCAAGGACTCATGGTCCTCTTGTAGCAGATACCCAGGTATCTTCACAAAGCAGACACCCAGGTATAGATATTAAATATGCTAGTAGCTGTTATATTTGTCCACCCAATATCAACTGTCCTTTTCCTTAACAACAAAATCAATATGCCCAACTAAATCACTGCCTCTTCTTCTATCTTCCCTTATTAGCTTAGGTACAGCTAGATAAAATGAGAGCAAAAATTTTTTTTGTGTGTGAATCTTTCTGTCACCTCTTTAAAGAGAGATAACTTAGCCAGGGGACATGCCAGTTTCGCCCCTTTTCTGTCTCTGCTCCTAGACACACCGATATGCCTGCTGGAGTATCAGTAGCCATCTTGTGAGAGTTATGGCAGCCACGAATCAAGGACGGCAGAGCCAGGATACATTTCCTATATCCCCAATACTATTTTCCACTGAGACATATAGTACATGCTATTTTTTTTCTGTGTCCCTGTGTGCCCAACTATTTATAAAAAAGTAGCCTTTAGGACAGGGTAAGTTAGGTATTTAGAATGCTTTTTAAAAAAATAACACATTTCTTTTAGATTTTGAGTGAATTACTTTAAATTTTGAAATCCACTATTTCAGAGAACCAAATTACCCAAATGCTAATTTACCTGTTTTTGATTTGGACATTAGATCTGGAGAACTTTCTTCATGTGACATTATAGGGATGTCTTTTTTATCTGTGAATAAAACATTGTTAATAAGCCAAGAACAGTATTTTGAAAATTGCAGGTGATTCCTGGGCCCTCCCTGGTGGCTCAATGGGTTAAAGCACAGCACTACAAAGCTAGCCACAGCCACTTCATCACCAGTTTGAGTCTGATTCCCAACCAGGGAGCTGACCCACATGGCGCAGCAGACCTCTCCTGTCTCACCTGCTTCTCCCCTCAGCAGTGTACTTCATCAATCCACCTGTTCTGCTCCCCACTCTGTCTCTGGTGAATCCTCTCACTGCCCCTAGGCCTCTGGCCTGTACCCAAGTTCTGTATGCATAAATAAATCCTTAAAAAATTGTAGGTGATTCCTAAAGAAGACAGTGGTATGGGCCTATGAAGCATTACTTGTAGCAGAAAAAAAAAAATCTAAAAACTAACTTGTTTCCAACATGAAGAACTTAGTTTAAAATATTACCTGTAAATAGGGAAACTGTGCAGCAATTTAAAATGAGTATTTTGGCTTAAAGGAATATTTCCCAATGAAATAATTAAATGTTACATATACCTAAAAGAGGTAAAAGTAATTACATTGTATGTTCTCTATTATGTTAAAATAGGAATAAAAAATGATAGCATCTTAAAGCTCTGGGTTTATGATGTTCTGGGAGAATTTCTTATTATATGATAATGATTGTGTCTTACTTAGAACATTCGAAAAAGTGGACAGGGCTCTAACTGCATTGTATGTCCAGGTTTCTATATTTTCTTTATTCTAGTAAGTCAATTTCTTTTCTATAGTTATTCAGCTTAAATATGTAAAAAAGAAGCTAATTTTTTTGTCCTGGTTTTCTTTTCTTTTTCTTGGTCATTTTAAACTTCAATATAAATATAATAAAATACAAAATAAATGGAAATAGGATCCACCGCATGGCATTAGTGGTTCATTTTGTCAACATCTTTACCAGTTTTAACATCTTGATGGTCATGTTCTAATGGTATTTTGCTTTCTTCACTGTCCATACTTTCTCTTTGGGAAGAGGGTGTCAAAGCTGCAGCAAAAGAAAAACATATCTTAACAGTTAATTTGCTTATATGAGGAAAGATTTGGTCAAAAACATCAGCAGTTTATATTTTTACCATCTTCATACTGTGCAAAACTCAACTCATCCATGCTTTTGTCTATGTCAGATCGGGATTCGTAATTATCTCTCTTTTCAAGTTCTCTTGTAAATATTCTTGGAGTTGGCTGGGCTGAAAGATAACAATGGGCTGTGTCAAACAAAAGGTAGAGGGGTAGGGAGACTTGGGTAGCAATTAAATCCTGTGCTTTAAAGTCAGACAGACATGGATGCTCTGATAGTCAGCATGGCTATTGTAAATAATTTTATCTCCCTGTCTCAATTTCTATAGGGCAAAATGAGGATCATCAGATCAAAAGCTCTGTTGCAATGAAATAATGGTTGTAAACATTAAACTTGGAAAATGCTCACTCACAGGAAGACTGCTCCATGTTAACTGCCATGCTCTGTATTAGTATATAATTTTCTGTGTTTAAAAACCTCACTATTCTCCACAAATTCTTCTTAAAAATACATTTCATTAGTGAAAAAAATTCATTTTTTAAAATTTAAGATTTGTCCGATTTAGTCTAGTGAATTTGAAAAAGAAAAGGCTTTTAAGTTTGTAGCACATGAAAGATAGCATCTGTTTCCATATTCTGATGGGAGAAGACAACTTATGAAAGCTTGAAAATACATGATTCATGCCTTAATTTGATGTGAAAGGACACCAAGAAGTATTGTGACCATTTTTCCTCTAGGAGACTTCAAGTTTTTCCCCATGATCTAAATCTCAGTTAAATATCCTTTCTTCAGAGAGTACTTCCCCCATCCTGGTCACACTCTAGGCCACCTATGCCATCACTGCCTGTCCCATTACTAACCTATAGATTTTTCCTGTCTGTTCACTTGGGTTTTTGCTGCTTTTCCTTCCCATAAAATGTAACCGCTACTAGGAGAAGAGCTTCATGTGTCTTGCTCACCTCTGTAGCCTACTGTCTAGAATCACATCCACCACAAAATACACACTCAACAAAGTGTTTGTTGAATGAGTTAATGATTTAATTTTGTTCAGTTTTAAATAATTTTCCAAACAAGCCATTTTAATAGCCTGGGCCAATATTTCTCAAGCTTTTGTTTGTGAATTAAAATATTTGAGTATTTTTTTTTAAGTTTTGATTTTAATTTTGAAGGCAATATATACTACAAATATAAAAACATCCTGGATTATCTTGATGACCACTCGGAAAGCATGCAATGTCAGTACTGGTCTTTTTTTGTTGTTTTGTAATCCCTTGGGCACTATGTTGAACTTTTTTAGTTATTTATAGATTAATGAGAAAGTGAGACTGATTAGATGATGTATCCTTGCTTAGTAAAAGTTTGATGTTGCCACATCAAGAGATAATTTACTTGCTATTTAAACTGCACAGAAAATAATGGGAAGCTCAATTTGTTTAGAACATTAGTAAAACCCTCAGAAAGATCTGACAAATAGCACATTCTCACGCTAGCACACATGCACCATGGCCCAAATAAACTGTAATTTAATCACACTTATAAGTCTTGAGAATAATAGTAGTTTTTCTAGGTGTTATCTAGTTTAACCCAAAGCAACAGTACATTATCAGAATAATATACCACAAGTAAGTAAGGTTTATGTTAGAACTGTAACAATGATGTAATGCTGACAAATACATTAGAATAGTTGATCAAAGCAATAAGTGAAAGGATTAAAAATTTAAGATAATCTTGAGAGATGTTGAAAAGATATTTGATAATGTTCGTCATCCATTCCAAATAATACTTCATAACTTTATAGGAAAATACTGGTAAGATCTATATAAATAGGTCTACTATTACTGCCGCTACTTAAGACCACTGTAGAACTGCCAGCTTACATAATAAGTCAAGAAAGGACATAAGAGGAGTTGAAACTGTACTTTTTTTCCAAACGATATAGTAGCTATCTGTAAAACTCAAGAAACTCAACTAAAAATCTGTTTAAGAGATAGTAAGTTTAATGCCTTGGACTTGCAAACATATATAAAAATCAAAGGGCTCTCTAGTGTATTGGTAGTAATTATTTAGAAAATATTAATACAACAGCAGAATGATGCCATTCAATAGTAGAACAAAGTGACAAAATATCTAGGGATAAACTTATTAAAAAAATGTAGACAAAACATGAGGAAGGCCTTAAATGTTAAGGAAAATCAAAAGATTTAATCTGTATGTGTCAGATTTAATAGTAAAGATGACAATTCTCATCACATTATACTATTAATATAAACCTCCACTGGGAGGGTTCACAAAATTCTCTTAACATCCCAAACCTAGCCCCTGACACACACTAACTGTTGTGGAATGAGAATTTATTTTATGGGATTACTTTCAGGGATTATTTTAAATCAAAATGTTTTGAGGAAGAATTTCCATTACTAATTAAAAACCATTATAATAAGATTTAATGATTTCATTTTGTATTAAGGGGCATAATAGAAAATAGAAAAATCAATAAACTAGAAAGATCAGAAGTTGCACACATGAACTTTTTCAGATATAGATGGCATTTCAAACCTCCAGTGAATTATAGATTATTTAGCAAATGTTACACGTACAAGTGACTTCCCATTTGGAAAAAGTGAATTTAGATTCCCATCTAATACAGAACTTATTACAATAATTCCAAATTTATTAGGAATAAGCACATTTTAAAAACGTGCGAATGCAATTTTGCATAGGTTCACACTTAGTCATAAATCTGAACAGAGAACATGAGGTGGGTGAAGTATTTATCAAATTTTTAATAGGTGATATACATGGGGAGTAAGTCTGAGTGTCTGAGTGATTCTTCTATCTGCTTTTTCCTGTGTTTTGTGTTCACCTGAGAGACATACAGGTTAAGAGCTCTTAGATCAATCTAGAGCACAATCACTTGTTGGTTGCTAATGGTGGTCAAGTTACATAGCCCCTGGAAACCTTGGTCTCTTTATTCACTAAAGCTGGAGACATAAATACCTACCTCATAGGACTGTTATAAGCATTTAATTGGGTAACATATAAAATGCATTTAACATGGCCCTAACATATATCATGTACCCAATACACATTTATTATTACCTTTGAATGAGGAAAACAGTATTTGGATATGATGCAGCAATGGCTATATGAGGAAATAGTGTACTGCCATTAACTTCTGGGAAATCCAAACAATGGTGGTTGAGTCAAGTCTAAAATTTCTAGAGTTGATTCCAAATTTTGGCTCAGGATCCAAAGTGAGAAGTGAGAAAGATCCCCCACATGCAATGTTGCACTGAGGGTATTCCTTTCAGTGGAGAGGCTTAGATTAAACTACTTTCAAGTGCTCTATGTAACTGGTTACAAGGTGTCAACTGTAGATGCAAATTTTACCAAGTTCAATCAATGAATTTCCAAAGTATGACCCTGAAATAAGAACTCTCATTTTTCTTGGAGTGAGAAAAACGGGAAACAGATCCCTGCCCAAATTCTGTGACTATTCTAGAATAATGTAAAGCGATCTAAATCTGGAAAGTTCTTTCTAATTGCTTCTCCATAGGAGTCTTTAATCTGTTTATGAACCAGATTTGTGCATATTATTTCTTCACTAATGAAACCTCTTGGTTACAAGATGCCAGGATGTTAAGGTGCCAGGGATATCAAGATGAATAAACTAAGTGCTTGCTTTCAGGTAACCAGGATAACTGTAAAGTACACATATGTTAAAAAGATGGTTTACCTAGTTTTTTAGCTTGTAGTTCTATGGCAAGCCGTTCTTTCACAACTTTAATAGCTTCTTCAGTGGCTGCAGCTATGGTATCATTTATTAACACTTCAAGGGCATTATCAAAACGTGGTTGAACAAGTTTAGTGTAATCAATTACCTGCAAAGAATATTTCAGAAAACCACCATAAGCATAAGTTACTGTGAATATTAAATTGTTCATGTTTATCTATGTCACAAAATTCATAATGCTGCTGGGTATGTCCTACTTAGAATTCACTGATTTTTGAGTACTTGCTCATAGACATTCATTCGCATTTTTCATGTAATATATATTCAAGATAAATATTTTAAAAGTCAACTTTGTTTAACCTACAGAAAAGGTAACTATTTTAAGCATCTAGGTTGATGATGTTTTATAAATAGATGCATATCACAACAGCAACAATCAAGATATAGAAATTCATATCACACTAAAAAGTTCCCTCATACTCCTTTAAAGTCAATTCCTGGCTCCTGGCAACCATTTTCTACTTCTCTTCATTATAGGTTAACTTTTCCTTTTCTAGAATTTCATATAAATAGAACCATGAGCTATGTACTTTTTTCCAGGCCTTTTTGCCTTAATATATTAAATGCTTTTTGGGATTCATAAATGCAATGATATATGACATCAGTTTGTTCCATTTACTATCAAGTAATATTTCACTCTATAAGCTCTACCACAGTTTATATATTCATACATCTAGTGATGGATGTCTGGGTTGTTTGCAGTTTTAATTTATTATAAATAAGGTGGGAGTAAGCATTTATCAGGAAGTCTTTTTGTGGACATATACTTTCAATTTTTAAATTTATGCATACAGAACTGGGGTCCAGCCAGAGGTGCAGGGACAGTGAGAGGATTCATCAGTGACAGAGTGGGGAGCAGAACAGGCAGACTGACAAAGTACACTGCTGATGGGAGCATCGGGTGACATAGAAGAGGTCTGCTCTGCCATGTGGGTCACCTCCCTGGCTGGGCTTGAACTCGCGCTGAGGCAGCTGCGGCTAGCTTCCTAAGTGCTGCTTTTTAACCCACTGCACCACCAGGGAGAGCCCTGGACATATGTTTTCATTTCTCTTGAATCAATTCTTAGGACTGGTATTACTGGGCATATGGTAAGTATATATTTGACTTAATAATAAGCCATTAAACTGTTTTCAAACTTTTTGAACTATTTTATATTCTTACATGCAAATTTTAGACAAAATGAAAGTTGTAGTTACTCCACATCCTCACCAACACTTGGTTTAGAAAATTCTTTTAAATTTTATCCATTCATGAGGGTGTGAAGATGTATAAAATACAGTTAAGTTTCCTAATCACTAATAATTCTAGTGTCTTTTTATATGTATTTCAGTTATTTACATATCTTCTGTTTTTAAGCATATTTTCTACTTTTGAATATTTTAATAATTGGGTTAGAATCTTCTCTCTCTCTCTATGTATATATTCTGAATATAAGTGTTTTGTTAGGGAGATAACATACTTTCTGCTGAATGCTGGGATGTGAAAGACAGATGTCTATATGTCTTTTAAGGACATTTTTCTTGTCTTTAGTATGATCACATTACTTTATTCCATGACATCTAATGCCATCATTTTTTAATGGATGCACAATATTGTATTAGTTATTTAACTACTACTATAATAATACATACATTGAGGTAACTATGCTTTTGCTATTGTAAACTATAGATTATGGTAAACACACACATTTATCATACATAGCTATCTACAAATCTTCCATAGTTTATTTATTGAAGTTACATTGGTTTACAACACTGTGTAGGATTCAGAGTGTCTGATAACGCCTTCATGAAAAACTCATAAAATGAAATTGACAGTTTGAGAAACGTGCATACCCCAATGTCCAGGAGAGTGGTTACCTTTGTAGGAGGAGTAGGGAAGGACTGGTATTGGCAAGAGGCATGAGGGAGCTTCTGGGGCGCTAGCAACAGTTCATATTTGACCTGGATAGCAGTTATATATGGGTCTGGTTTATCAGAAAGTAGTGAGCTTTATTTTTCTGTCATATTTTATAGTTAAAAAAAAAAAGTAAAAGCAAATAGAAAATGTTACCCCTATGTGCAAAAATATTTATTAGCACTTTTAAGTAAATTCAAACCCCTTCCCAGGGTAATTACTACTCTGACCACATCTTTAGCCATCTTCATCTTATACCATTTTTCATTCTACACAGCGCCGTATACACACTGGCTTTCATATCATCCCCCTACATTTAAACCCCTTGTCAAATCTTTTTGATTCTGTTTTCAAATTATATTGCAATCTCCCTTCTTTTTACCACCTGTACAGCTATCACTATGTTCTAAACTAAATAGAATTTCTCTCTATTTTGAAGGTGGAGACAACGATGACTGGTGGTTGGGAAGTCAAGGAATTGACAGAGCAGGGTATTGTGAGGGTCATCTTTGTAGAGACTGGTATCACCATGAATGATGACAGCAATGAGTATGTGGAGAGAGCATCAGCAAGCCAGGAGGAGAGATGAGTAGGACTGAGAAAAGTAATGGTGGCATAGTCTGCCTGCTGTGACAGTCCAGTGAGGGCTCTGGGAAGCAGGCAGGGGTTGTGGTCTGGAAGCCATGACCAACAGCAAGGAGGATGCTTTTCCCACACTGAGCCCAGGGGAATCATTATGCAATTTCCCGTGTGAAATAAAGAAAACTGAGTACAAATCCTACAAATTGTAAACTTCTACAAATCATAATTAAGCATAGATAGGTAGAAAGCTAGCTAGTTAGCTAGCTAGTTACCTTTCCTTTGTAATGTTCTGCAAGCAGATTGCTAAGTGTTGTTTTCCCTGAAGACTGAGGTCCATATATGAATATTTTACATGGTGGTACTGGCATCGGTGGGAGAAGATAGGGGCGTGGATTCAACGAAAATGACTTTAATGCGTCTTCTGATGAATTACAGTATATTTTACCTAGAAAACTTAAAATATGGTCTCATCAATAAACAACTAAATGAGGCATGAGAACATTTTAAAATTAAGTTCTGAAAATTTCAACTTACCTCACGGAAAAATCTGACAATCCTGGATAAATATTACCTTCTTTTAAAGACACAGGACAGGTACGTCCCCATTTGCTTCTTCTCCATCTATATCTCGGTGCAATAAGTTTATAAGATGCAAGAGAACGGAACACCTCTTCCTGTTAATAGCAAACACTACATTAAAAACGTGGGTATAGGTTTTGCTGAAATTAATAGTAAAAGAATTGATTATTTGATTTACTATTTAAGAAATAATGTAGAAAGCCAATTTTGGGTTTTTTCTTTAATCACAACTTGTACATGTCCAAAGTTTAGTGAGAAAAGTATTTTTCATTTCTGTTATAAAATCCGTTCAAATTTTACTGAGCATTTTCTACTATAAGGTAAAATGAGCCAAGATACAACCATTTCTAACATATGGTTCAGAAAACAGATTTTGAAAACTTCTTACTGAATAGCCTTGAAGAGGTACTGGATTCAACTAAACTATGAAGTCTCCCTCAGCAGTCCTCAGTTGGTGACCTCCAGAGACGTTCAGAGCCACCTCTCTATAGAGTATACATTGCCAACAGGTCGACTGTGCCTGTGCTACCTTAGCAAGGGGCAGGAGAACTGGCGACAGATGGCATGGCAGACAGCTGGAAGAGGGGCAGGTGCAAGCTGGCTCCCCACACCTGCAGCTGGGGCTCTCACATGCATCCGCTGGCTCCAGTGACATGGAGGACAGAGAGAGTGGAGCCAAGGTCCTGCTGGCTCAGAGGGCAAGGTGGCACACCTGGCAGGACTGCTGCATGATGTCCTCACCTGCAGCCTGATGGCATTAAGGAAACTCATTGCTTAGCGGACCTGCACGAGACTGTGATCCTCGAGGCGAGCCATGCTGGGCTACCACCCTGCTCCAGGAGTCCTCAGACAGGGAACTACGGACTGAAATGCACCCAACTAAGTCAGGAGGTGGTCATTCCTTACCCTTCTTTCCTGTCCAAACCTGGGAACAGTGTTTGAGTAGCAGACTGTGAGTGACTTGGCAAAGGAAAAGTGATTGACTAACAGATGATGTTTCCCTCTAAACTTTGAACCCCAGGAGCCATGTCTCTGGAAGGTGCTGTGGGAAGATGAGAGAGTTTTTAAATGAGATTGATTCTACTGGTTTTTTTTGTTTGTTTGTTTGTTTGTTTGTTTAAATTGTATCACTGCCTCTGATTAAATGGGACAGACTGAACCTATGCATTTGTGTTTGCTGCTTTCCTAAAACCTCACAAAAATGACAAAAAATAAATAAATAAAAAGGAATAAATTAAGAAAGGCACAGAGATGGGAGATGGACAGCCACAGTTTCACATTTTCAGAGCTAGACTACATGGGTAATTGACTTAGAACAGAGAATGGTAAAAGCCAGTGTCTTTGGTGGCTGGGTCAGGGATGGGATGGGGTGGATATAAAGGAAGCAAACTGATTCACTCTGCAGAACCTCAGAATGGCTCAGACCCTTCGGGTAACAGATACCTCTGGAGGTAGGTAAATGGAAACCAGATGGCAGGAAGAATGTAAGAAAATCTTTAAAAGGACAGCTTGCAAATTGTATACCACTTTGGGGTTATGAGTAAACTCTCCAGTCTACACTTTCATGAAAAAGAGGGCAAGCATCCTTAGCCATATACATTTGTCCCTGTTATCAGGGCTCCCCTTTCTTAAGTTTCAGTTATCTGTTGTCAACCATTGTCTGAAAAAATATGTACAATAAGATGTTGAGAGTGAGTGTGAGAACATTTGCCTAATTGTTATCACAGTATATTATTATAGTTTTCTATGTTATTATTAGTGATTGTGGTTAGTCACTTACTATGCCTAGTATATAAGTTAAACTTTATTGTAGGTGTTTATGTATAAGGGAAAAAAAATACAAATACGTGTGTCAGGCTTCCCTGGGGATGGTAGTAGGCATACTTTGGATAAGGGGCACCACTGTAACTTGTGAACTATAACCTTAGGCCTGTACCTACATATCCAGTAATTTCTAAGGGTAAACTCTGGGTCTAAAATTTTTTTTTCAGGTTTCAGGATTACTTTAAATTCTCCCTTCAGTGATGAGTTAGGAGCTCAGCCTCTGTGTTGCTTGGACCCAACTTCCTTCCTTTTCAGTACCAATTCCTGTTACTGAAGTCCCAGCACATATTTCAGCTGTGCTCACCCACTAATATCTCTGAATAAACAGTACAGGGTAACCAAAATGACCTCTTTTTTCAAAGATTCTTTCATTTGAATTATAATATCTATATGTGATTCTGGCATCTATTTCTACTCATAGAGGTGAAACTAAACTTCCCCAAATAGATCAACTCTTCTGTTTGGAAGTTCTTGTGGACCTTTTAGCCCTAGCAATTATTATTTGATCACCACCATATCCATAAAACTTTGATGTCAGGAACACAGTAATTGAAAAAAAATGATTGAAGGAATGAATGAGTACTGACAGAGTTGAGGGCTTCTATGCCTTTGCTTACTTTGCTGCTGCAAAATTTTAAGCTGAACTTGAGTTGTGTTCTTTCTCATTATCCCTGTGATTAATTGTTCTGATCTTAATGTGTTTCTTAACATTGTCTTGAATATTGTACTAATAATACTGCTTCTTAAATTAGGTCAAAAGTCAAGTCTATTTCTATAATGGGTATCCTAAAACTCTTTTAAACCTTGGAAGGATACAAATCGAGGTCACACCCTATAGTGAAAAAGTAGACATTCAAATAGTTCAACATCACTTACATTTTCCATTACGTCATTCATCTCTTCCTCTGCACCCTGAAGTTTGGTGATAATTGCTGCTCGTTTTAGGTTCAGATATTTAAGTCGATCTATAACTGTCTAAATTTAAAAAACAAATCTTTAAATGTATTGACATTTAAGTATGTCAAATATTCTGAAAAAATGTTGTGCTCATGGGCAGAATTCTTCCTTGCCTCCTTCAGCTGATAGTTTGCTGGCAATCCTTGGTATTCCTTGGGTTGTACATTTATCAGTCCAATCTCTGCTTTTGTTGTCAGATAGCAGTCTTCTCCCTTGGTGTCTGAATCTCTACTGTTATAAGGCTACCTGCCATAATGGGTTGGGGTTCACTCTAATTTAGTATGAACTCATCTTCACTTGATTAAATCTGAAAAGATCCCATTTCCAAAGAAGTATTGGAAATTAGAAACTCCTGATGGAAAAAATATATATTTTGCAGGGGGATACAATTCAACTTGTAATAGTCACATGTAGATGGAGTTAAATATTGGATCTATGCTCCCAAGGCCCAGGGACATCTGGTACTGTCAGCAACCAGAAGAGAAGTTAGAAGACTGAGTGATCCCCTAACAGCACTAGAGGGAGCAGTCTTGCCTAAACCTTGATTGTAGACTTCCAGGCTTCATAACTACGAAAGAATACATTTCTACCATTTAACTTATTTATTTCCCCTCTTTCCTTGCTGACACAAGCTATACAACTTCTGTCGACTGACAAATTCCAGATGGAAGGAAAAAGCTCTGAAAAAAATCAGAATTTCCATTGCTAACTTATGTTATGACCTCCCTTTTTTGTATAATCATAGTATCAAAAATATTCTGAGCAACCATCAGTTTGCTACTGGATTGCCTTAGCTTCATAAATTGGCTACCTGGCATGGGCAAAGTATGAGTTGCCCCAGGGCAGGAAATTCCTCTGTGCCCGGAGACAAAAGGAAAGCTCCAAGAGACGTAAGGCTCCAGAGCATCAAGACTCCTGGGAAGCTTCCTCAGTTTTTTTTTTAAACAAAAAACACATCTCAGATAAAACTCCCAGGCATAAGGATTCATGGACAATTTCCTAACATTATTGACACAGGTTTTGCTTCATGCATGACTATGTGACTTCTTCTTAATTTACCCTTTTCTTAAACAATATCTAACTACTCTATGCAAGTCTTAATTAACCCTTTCCTAAAACAAACACTAGCTACTCTCTATTAGCCTTAAGTTAGCCATTAGCTTCTCTTTAGACAATCACTGATGACTCTGCTTACACAATTTATTCCTTCTCTAGGGCCCCTAAATCCTTTGCTAATAGCTCATCCTTTCCCAGGCCTCTTATCCTTTGAAGTCATAGTTAAACATCCATATACACAAATATGTATAGTCTAGTATGCCATAAAATGCCAGAAAGAGGATGCATTGTTCCCCTCTTCCTTTAGAACTGTTATGCTGATTTCTCATTAATTTACCTGATGTATTATTGTAACTAACTACTTTCTAAACAGTATAGAGACCTGCTAAAAAGATGAGCAGGAAGACTTGCATCCAACTCCAACTTCCGTGTCTTCCTCACGCCTGCTCCCCTTCCCCCCCCCCTTCTTGGAATTCCCACGCTTGCTGATGCCTGCTCCCATCTTAAGACCCTGCCTGCCTTTTGCCCTCTGACAGCTTGTGATTGGGGCTGGTCCCCAACACCTTGTTATGTCATGTCAGGTGGAGTATAAGTCCTTATAGCATGGTATTCTCTATGTAGCTTATTTTAGCCAGTGTTGTGTGGGCAGAAGTGCCTGGTACCAATGCCATTTGGGGTTTTAACAGGCTTGGCAGTTTCAGCCAGGCTTACTGGAGCTTCTACCCTCTACCTCTATAGTATGACCCAGGCCATAAAATGTGGTAATTTGATATATTTTGAGGGAGAAGTCTGCTGTGTGTGATGATGGCCTGGATGTGGGACGTAAGAAAAAAAAGAAGAGTAACTGGAAGACTGGATCTGATATTTACTCTACTGAGGAAAAGTGTGGGAGGAGTGTATTTGGGGAGGGAAGTATTCATGGTAAACTTGTATTTGTAAATGTAAGATGACAATTAGGTATCCAACTGAATCTGTTGAGTTGTAGTATATTGATTATACAAGTGTGGAATGAGAGGCAAAGGTCTGGGATAGTAATATGAATTTAAGAGTTACTGCTGTTTAGTGATACTAAAGGTCTTTAGATTGGATGAAGACGCCTAAGAGGGTAGATGCAGTAAGCTCTGGGATCCCCTAACTCTAGAGATTAGAGATGTAGTATTCAATGAGGTAGAATGGACTCCAGTAGAGTGGGATCCCAGAAGCAAAGGCAAGAAAAGCAATAAGAAGAAAGAAGGATGAGCTGGGTTGTTTCAAGGTGAGTTGGACGAAGACTGAAAAGTAACCACTGGCACTGGAGAGATCACCAATGATGCTGGTAAGAGGAAGTGAGACGAGTCTCCCTAATTGGCTCCACACCAGCTTTCCTACCATGTTGCCAATTACACAAAGCCAGAAATCCAGGCATTGCTCCTTTCTCCCTAAACTCTTAAATTAAGTCACTCAACAAGTCCTGTCATTCACACTTCTTAAATATCTCTCAGGTCTATCTTCTCCTGTCCATTTCCGCAATCCCTAGTCTAGGTCAGGCCACCGTCTTTTACTTGAACTACCGCAAAAGTCAGCTAGCCTTTCAACACCCATTTGATTCTCCTTTGTTCTTTTCCTTCATACTGCAGGCTGACTTTTCTTAAATAGTATCATTTTCATTTTCTGGGTTAAAACCTTCACTTACTCCCACTCTCTGATGATGAGATATAACTAGCACAACTTATAAAGTCTTTCTTGGCACAATCCTGCTTATTCTTAAATTCTTTTTGTTTCAGTCCCTCTGCCCCTTCCCTCTGTGTTCTGGTCCCATTTCATTACCTAAAACTCACTGTATTCTTTCTCACCTCTGGGCTTCCCACAGACTCTTCTTCCCTTAGCGTGGAACACGGTCCCACCACCTCCCCTTTCCTAGTCTCCACGGTCAAATGCTTACTCATCCTTCAAGTTTCAATTTTAAAATAAGTTCAGCCAAATGGCCCTCCTCACTAGACTAGGTTCTGCCTTTTTGTCATGAGCTACCATACCACATTGTCATTCCCTGACTATAACCCTTCAGCTATTTATTTTTTCCAACATACTGGATATTAACTGATGGGTAACCAACCCTTTGCCCTTGTGGTCCACCACAAATCTATTTTCTGTTTTTGTAAGTTTGCTTTTTTTGGACATTTCATTTATATGTTGTGCTGTTATGAAATATCCATGTACACCTTTAATTCCTTTGGGTAGTATTTATATCTCTAGGAATTGAATAGATGATTCATGTGGTAATTCCATGTTTAATCTCTTAAGGAACTCCCAAACTCTTTTCCAAAATCTACCTCATTTCTGAATCCCGGCTGTAATCAATTTTTCCATATCCTTGACAACACTTGTTATTGACATTTAAAATTTTTTTGCCATCTTAGTGGATGTGAAGTGTATCTCATTATGGCTTCCATTTGCATTTGCATTTGCATTTCCCTGTCAAGCAGTTTTTCATGTGTTTTTGGCTTTTATTTTTCTTTGAGGCACTTTTTGATTATTGAGATTTAAAATTCAAATGTAGTTTGATTTAAATGTGAATAGATGCATAAATACATAAAAATTTAAGTGTCAAACTGCATTTTTCAAAAATAAATTGGTGTTAAAAATGTAAATATAGTTCTGATGGTTATTAAAATAAGTGTAATCAGGTCAAAACAATGTTTTGATTTTCCAAACTGTGGAATATTCTTACTGAACATTGCACTTACCAAGAAGTGATCTTCTGGGAGTTTATTTCCATCTAGTTCAATGAGATACTGGGAATTATGTTCAGCCATTATTTCCTGCAAATAATAGACAAGAAATCTTATAATCCAGGTTCACTGGGAAAACTGAATATAAAGACAGAATCTAAATACACCATAAAGAAATTTTTAAACTTAAATTGTTTTCTATATAATGTGGTATTTTTATTTTTAGTGATCAAGGGGCTTCTGCAAAAGGCTAATCTAGTCTCCATACTAGAATTCTATGCTGTCCTTTTTTTTTTTTTTTTCAGATTTTTCTGTACACTAAACAGAAAATATTTTGAGATATTTGTCTCTGCACATATCTGTAAAATAATTTCTGCTAAAGTGATACTTGAGGGTCCCCCCTGGTGGTGCAATGGGTTAAAGTGCAGCACTACCAAGCCAGCCGCAGCTGCTTTAACATGGGTTCAGTCCTGGGTGGGGGGAGGAGCTGACCCACATGCCACCGCAGACCTCTCCTGTCTTGTCCCCTGCTCCCCTCAGCAGTGTACATGTTCATCTGCCTGTTCTGCTCCCCACTCTGTCTTTGGTGAATCCTCTCACCACTCCACACCTCTGGCCTGTATTCCAGTTCTGTATGTATAAATAAATCTTAAAACAAACAAACAAACAAAAAAAAAACACTTCAGTACAGAAAGGCAAATATTTAAAAAAATAAATGATACTTGAAATGACATTTGTTTGTTTTACTTTAATACTCCATGGCTATGAGTAAAATTCAGCCTCCAGAGTCATCTCTGTATGATACTTAACCATAATTTTGATGCATTTTCTGCTAGATTCCATCATTTCCCTAACACTCATGGAAAGTCTTTAACCCTCAACTCTTATATGGATTGCAAATATTTTGCTTTTGTATGATTTATCTTTTGACTTTATGATTTCTCTTGTAATATAAAATATTTTTAAAATGTTTTGTTTCAGGGTTTCTTGTTAGATTTTCTCTATGATAATGTATTCTAGTACATTTTCTAATATTCTTCTAAATTTCCCTCTGTTATTTTGTCTTGAATATTAGAATCTAAAATCCACTGAATTTTTATTTTTGTAAATTGGCAATGTTGAATTCTATTTGAGCTTTGTTTTCCCAGATAGTAGGAATAGTAGAGAGATAGTAGGATAGTAGAGAGATTAAGACCCATCTCCACTCTTCCTCAGGATAAGATCAGACTCCACCTTTCTAAACAATTCTCTCACAACTATTCTTAAAGGCTGTGAAGATGGCTCTTGTGTTACCTGCCTCCATAAATCCCAGATATCCCCTTCATTTCCTTTAAGAAGGCCCTCATTAATAAATATTCTCCCTATTGCAAGAGTCTGAACAAAATCAGCTCCTTAATTGTGTATTTTATCTTCAATATTGTGTAAGGCTGGAATCTTTTTTGTTTTTTCTTCTGAACATTATGTAACGTCAGATGTATGTTTGTTTAGCCATGGTAATTTGTAGGTATATAATGTATTTCAGATTCTCCCCTAAAGATTCTTAAGGTTGGGCTAATGCTAAGATTAAGGATACATGAAACATGTCCAACCCAGAGTTAGTTGGAATCCCAAAACAGACAAAGGACTTAACCCTGGATTATTCTAGAAGCAGGAGAAAAGCCAGAAAATGACACTGGTTAGTTTGCTCCTTCTTGCTTTCCTTTTCTTTGGGAAAAGCACTGAATGATGGTGTTCTTGGTCTCTTAAGTTCAGTGACAACTCACCCAGATCAGAGATCACAGGTATAGGGTCCTCCCTTCTATGGTTCTCCCCACCAGCACCTTGAAACTACTATGTAAGACAACTGTCACCTAAGTGTCACCTAAGTGCTTGGTTTGGAAATTCTTGCTTTATTGGCACTAGGGCAATTAATTCTTATTTATACTTTGCTACAGATCCCAGAGATTTTCCACTCCTAGACATTTTGTGGATAAGCGATTCAAAACTAACTACATAAATTTATTTCTTTCATCAGAGTATAAGAGTCTTTGCTTTACCATATACTTGCTAATATTAGTTTCTCTTATTACTTGCTCATCTTTTGAATTTTGAGTGTGGGAATGCAACTGCACTGTTAAATTAGCATTTGTTTAATATCAGCAAGGCTAAACATTTTCTATTGGCTTGTTAAACTTTAGTTTTTTATTTTTATGAACCATCTTCTGGTTATATCTATGGCTCTTTTCATTCAGGACGGTGTAAACTTTCAGGCTTTAAGATATCAATTCTCTCTTCCTGGTGGTGCAACAAGTTAAAGCATAGCACTATGAAGCAATCTACAGCCACTGCAGCAAGAGTTGGATCCTCACCAGGTAGGTGACCCACATGGCGCGGCAGACCTCTCCTGACCTGCCTGCTGCTCCCCTCAGCAATGTGTTTCAGTCGATCTGCCTGTTCTGCTCCCCATTTTGTCTCTGATGAATCCTCTCACCTTCCCCTTGCACCTCTGGCCTGACCCCCAGTTCTTGTATACATCAATTGTATAACATATCAAAATTTTGAAGTTTTTATCATATTTGATGTGGATATTTTCCAGTTTTACTACCTTCAATTTCAAGGGGCTTTTTTTTTTTTAAAACAAATTTTATTGCTAGGCGCTTCATATTTCATGAAATTGCAGCTACCATTCTTTATCCTATGCCATTTTATCACTTGTTCTGCTGAACACCTATTAAGTATTAACTGTGTTCATACTTGGGTCTAGCATGAGTGATGCTAGGATATAAGGCCAGGTCTCCATCATTGAAAGACCTTTTGTCCCTGTGCCCTTTATGAATGTGATTCTCATTTTGGAGGATGAAGGATGAAAATGCAAATGACACACTCATTTTTCTTTTAACAGTATATAGACACCATAAAACAACAAGAAACAAATTCTTTTAGTTTCTCTATCACATTGAGGAGAATCAGTGTGAGGACTTTCTTTTGTTTTGTCTTTCATTGTAGCCTTTACTAACTAACTTGATGTCTGGCTAAATACTCCAGAGTCAGTAAATCTTGAATAAATCTCCAACACAAATTTGGCAGAGTCTGCCCTAGCTTTTTGACCATATAAAGTATGGTGTTAACATAATTGTAATTTTAGCAATCACATTTTAAATGCTAATCACATAATTAAAACACTCCCATTATAATGTATAATGGCTTTACCATGTATATATGTACTTATACATACATACATATATACCACACACACAGACACATATATAAATACACCAACTGTGAACGAGATAGCCACAGAAACCAATCTGGGAATAACTCTTTAGATAGCAACTTAACTAAGTTAACAAATTTATTTATGAATAAAAGAAGCACTGTTAAGTGTCTATTTGCATAGATAAATCCATAAGTTACAGACTGAAAATATATTTACAAAATAGTCTTTTAAAGCGGTTTTCCAATGTCCAACTATAAATAACTTTCCTTTGTGACTTTTAAGAAACATAGTTAATTTATCACTTTCAACAACATTGCTGCTTTGTAAGAGTAAAATTTTATTCTGTGAAACAGCTTGTGGGATGGAATCTGTAGTCTAACGGCATTCTAAAAGTTTAAGAGGAGAAGATAAGGCAGATGGAGATGAGGAAATGTGAAAGCTATTACACATCAGTGATAAAAACATCAATATTTTTTAGAAATATATCTTGTTCTTACTTCTAAAGAAGGAAGAACTGTTTCCTTATAAACTTTAGTAACATGCTCAATATTTTCCAAATAGTCCTCAGGTCTTTGCACTAGATGTTGAAGAATTTCAGCCACCATCTGCATTTCGGCAATAAACGCCTAAATGGGAAAGGAGAGATTTTGAATAGGTTAGTATTAATGACAACTTAATTTTCAAGCACAGTCCTACTCTTTATTCCCATATGCCATTTGTAATGGAAAAACAGGAAGATTTGAGATTGGGAGTTTTATTTAAGAGACACTGAATACCCTAAGCAGTCTTGGATAGACAGAGTAAAACTTTCATTTGGCTTGGATACTTATTTATTTTTGCTCCCCAATAAATAGTGAAGAGTAGGGGAGGAACATCAGATTTTGAGAGACAAAGTAAAGAAATCAGATATCTGAGCTTGTAGTGCATTCATTCACTTAGTGAAGATTTACTGAGTAACTGCTATGTACTAGGCACTGTTCTAGAAACTTGCAGTAGGACAGTGAACATCATCAACAAGACCCTGAGGCTTGTGTAACTGACACACATTCTGGTTGGACATGGCAGAACATAAAGGATAGACATATAAATACAGAACTTGTTAGGCAGTTGTGAGAGCTAGGAAGAAAAACAGGGTGGAGTGTAGGACACAGAGCCTGATGGGAAAACGTGCTACATAAGGTCAGGTTTTCTGAAGAAGTGATGGACATTTAAGTAGAATACTGAAGGAAGTCAGAGAGCGTCCACACAGATTTCCTGGAGAAAGAACATTTCAAGGCAGAGGAAATGTTACATATAAAAGTTCTCAGCCCAAAGTCTGGTAAATGTTTAATAGCCTATTTATCGTTATCATGCTGATTATATAGTGATTAATTATAGCTTTATCAATGAAAATACATCAATTCTTCTAATCACTGAAATAGGATCACAAAATTAGATGCAGTCTGCTTCAATATCCTGCAGGACAATAAAACTGTGATTTTGAAGGTCCCTTTTCTGTTAGACAAATGATTTGCCACATAAGTTAACATTTGACTTCACAGAGTTTAGGCTCTCATAAAAAGGAATACATTATAAAAAATTATATCTCAGAAATTATGAAAATTTTAAATAAATTTGTAATATAAATAATAGATACATTTCAATAGAGCAAAGATTGGAAAACTATGGGCCTCTCAGCCCAGTGGGTGACCAAATCCAGCCTGCTGCCTGTCAGAGGACTTCTTATTATCAAATTGTCCTTACTTAGTCATGGTGAAAGACTCTTGATTCCCTATTGCATTAGGCTTACTAGTATTTATTTTAGGATTGCAGTGACAACATGCAGAAGTGAAACTGGACTACAGATTTCTTTTCATGAATACTTTTTGTCAGATTTGGGATGGGGTCATGCTAACTTCATAAATTGGGTTATGCTTGGGCTACTTTGATCTCTACATTAAACTTTGTCTTTGCTCTAATTCCTCATTCTAGCTTGCATAATGCTTGACACATAGCAGATGACCAGAAGAAGCTCTCTGTGGTGATGTAAAATGCAGCAGGTCAAAGTCAGGCTAGGGAGGAACTTTCATACTGAGAAGAATGTTAAGCTTGATGACCTTTCTAGGTTGTGAGCTAATGATTTTTGAAAATGTGAAATATTTTTGCTTTCTCCCAGACTAAAATAAAAATATAAAGAAAATACAGTGGTCTCTAGAACATATTAAAAAAAAAATCTCTGCTGAAATAACAAGAATAATGAATAGCCATATACCAGAGACATTTTGTGGGGGTGGAGTGGGGAATGGGATCAAAAACGGGGGGGGGGGGAGGGAAGTGCACGGGATTATGGTGATGGCACACGGGTGACTTGGTGATGGGAAACCCATGGGGGTTACAATTGAGATGGAAAAAAAATGTACAAATGATGTAAAAATAAACTTATAAAATAAAAAAAAATCTCTGCTGTTTTTGATATTATATTAATCATTTAAATAGTGAATTTTAAAAATGTGGTATATAGTATTGGATATTACCTCTTCTTCTTCTTCTTCTTCTTCTTCCCCTTCCTCTTCCACTTTTTTTTCTTTTTGGGCTTCTTTCCTCTTCTTCCTACGATTCTCAATAAACTCAGGATCCCACTGATCTCTTGTATATATGTGCCCAGTGTTACAGTGCTGCCTTTGCCCAGAAACTCTCTGGCACAAATCGAAGTCAGGACACTAAGGAAGAACATCAGAAACCACAACAAATAAAATATACTTTTACTTTCTGTTAAGAGAGTATGTAATACATAACCCCAAAAATCCCCCAAACCCTTAGGAAATGCAATCTTATAATGGCATTTTACATCAGGGTTCATCACATGCCAGGAGAGGCACATGACCTGATTTTCCCACTATTCCTGGTTTTGCTTTATTTGAAAGTTATGTATGTGAGAAGTGTCCAAAGTTTAAGGATCAAAACAGGGGGTTGGAGAAGCAATAGAAAGAGTCAGAGAAACAAAGTCAGTTTAGTTTGCAAAGGCACACAGGAGCATTTTGTCAGATTAAAAGAGAATGAAAAAAAAAGTGAGGCAATATCCATCTATTCCTAACTATAAAAAATTATGTATTTACAATATTTACTATCACTACAGCATCATGGATGACATTTGTTATAAGATGGCAGTCACCAATAGACCACAGCATTTGAAAATCGCCTTTTCATTTTGTAAATAGAAAAGTGAGTCTGGGTAGTAGAAAAATAGCCAACACCAAAGTCTACAAGTAGTTTTCTTTTCCACAATGCTTTCACACTCATAAGAGTTTACTCAACTCTTAAAAGTGATCCTGTGAGAGAAGTAACTCAATAAAATAATTAATGCCATTCTAGGTTAGAGCAGTATTACAGTGCGGGTTAAGAAGCTGGTCTCAGATCTCAGTATCATGATGGGAAACTAGGACTGGGAACCAGGCTTCAAATACAAAGCTTCTGTTCTGGGGCACACGGTGAATGATAACCAGGCTTTGGGACCAAAAATCCTGCTCTGAATACTTTCCAGGAAAAAAAAAAAAAAACAAGTCAGGATGATATTCTATGGTAATGGTTCTCAAAGGGCAGGGTATCGCCACATGTAGAGAACTGTAAGGTGATTTATTAAGTTTGGGTGAGGCTTAGATATTTTAAAAAGCAGTCTCGGCCCTCCCTGGTGGCACAGCGGGTTAAAGCACAGCACTGAGAAGCTAAAGCCACTTCCACATGAGTTCAGTTCCTGCCTGCCCCGGAGGTGACCACATGGGGCAGCAGACCTCTCCTGACCCGGCCGCTGCTCCCTCAGCAGTGTACTCTGTAGATCTGCCTGTTCTGCTCTCTGCTCTGTCTCTGGTGAAACCTCTCGCCGCCCCTGAGCCTCTGGCCTATACCCCAGTTCTGTATGTACAAATAAATACATCTAAAAAAAAAAAAAGTAGTCTCAATGATGCTGCAGCCCACAGCTCATGCAACACACTTTGAGAAACAAAGGAAACAAGTTTAGAACCTTCCTTGCTCACTTTCTGATTTCTTCAGGCCACCTCTATGAGGAGTTGAGGGGCACTGATTGAATCAAGGCTTATTTTGGCATCATAATTTTTTTTTTTTAAGATTTATTTATTTTTGCATACAGAACTGGGGTATAGGCCAGAGGTTCAGGAGCGGCGAGAGGCTGGCTTCACCAGAGACAGAGTGGGGAACAGAACAGGCAGATCGACGAAGTACACTGCTGAGGGGAGCAGCGGGCGGGTCAGGAGAGGTCTGCCACGCCATGTGGTCACCTCCTGGGCAGGCGGGAATCGAACTCATGCGGAAGCGGCTTTAGATTCTCAGTGCTGTGCTTTAACCCGCTGCGCCACCAGGGAGGGCCGGCATCATAATTTTTTACAAGAAAGATTCTAGCCCATAATTTTGGAACCATGTTTACTGGCCCTTATTCAGCAACCCAGAACACCCACATTGGGGATCTTTGGTAAGATGACAACCATTAGCTTTCTTCTATTTTCACTTATAGGAAGTGTTAATAAGAGATGTGCCTGAAGGGCATTCCTTGGAGCTGTGAGCCACAGATTTCAGTTTGCATCAGAATTACCCAGAGGGGTTTTAAACACCACTGGGCACTGCGGGACAACATTCCTGAGTTTCTGACTCACATTTCTTGGGGGAGTGGCTGAGAATATACATTTGAAACTAGTTTTGCAGGGCTGTTGAGTGACTAGCTCTGGGCCATACTCTGAGCACCACCACTTTGGAGCACTGGCTCTTAATAGAAAAAAATTTGTTTTGGTAGTATGCACTTCTATGGGATATGATTAAAACCATAGGCTTTTGTTCCCCTAGAATGTCATACATATAAAATTTTTTATAATTTCAGGAGGTTCGTGGATGATAAGTGATTTATGTTTCTGGGGCTATGAATTTCTGTTCTAGGAATCTCAGATTATATCCTTCAATAAGGTCATCAGAGAAGTGAGTGTTTTATTGACTTCTGTCCTTCATTAGGTCCTCCAACTATACACTGGTCACCCTGTAGAAGCTTCCATGAGAGCCCACATATCACTGGGGTTAAGGACTTCATTCTCAACATTTATTTCTTTTCTACCAAGACTCATATAAGATAGTTCCCTCATTTGCAATGGGAGTTTTGCTCTTTCTGAGGAATAGCTTATGTTTTCATGGACAAGGTGAATTTTATAATGGGCCACATTTCTCCTTCTATGCAGCTCATCAAACTTAGAACCAAACTTATAACCCAAATTTAATAAACACTGGGGACTTAAATCATATATCTGTGTTGTGTTCTTGTTCTACGAGGTCTTAATTTCCCATATAATCTATCTTTTTCATGGCTTAGATTTTATATTTGGTTTCAGCTGGTTACTTGAGATCTTTTCTTAGCTCCATTATATACACATTAACATACTCTTAAAGTCACACATGGATTGTGACTGACCTCTGATCACAACCTGTTGCTGGGGCTACAGATGACACCATGCTCAGCATAAGTGACATGTGTGCTGTCACTGCTGCCCCTAACACACCACTCAGTCCCCACAGCTGAGCTGAGAATCATCGACATTATTATGAATCATTTGATGACTCAAAACTTTGGTGGGGGAGGGAATCAGACAGGGTATACATATAAAGGCTTGTTACTCATTTTTATAGAAAAATGTAGGTTTTTACCTCAATGAATTATTATCACAAAGCCATGAGGCAGCTATTACTACCTTTGTGAAAAGGAAATTGAGGCTACTAAATGTTAAGTTGATAAAGGAGAGAACTGGAAACAGGACCCAGCCTTGACTCTTAAATCAATCTAGTTTTGGTACTTGACATTCATATATGGACGTAATTTGTTCAATTCACTCATTTTATTTAATTGGAAAACTTACGAGGTATCTACTAGGTACCGTATATTTTTCTAGTTGATGTTTATATGAGGAAGACATGCTCTAGACTTTAAGGCAGAGTCTAGAAAGAAAATGGGCAATTACAATATTGTGCAATAACCATAATAGAAGACATGTTGAATGGTGTTTAGAGAAGAATTTAACTTTCTGTGGTAAGTGAGGTGTGGAAGGGTAAGAAGGTAGGAGGTAAATAAATGTGCATGTTGTTGTGGATGATAAAGGTACCTTCTGGCTCTGAAGAGATGATGACTGTATTGACTTTCAAAGAAGGACTTATGATTAAGCCTAGGGAAGGGATAAGAAGGTGTTTCCTGTGGCTGAAAGTATTCCTTATATTTCACTACTAGTAAAGACAATAGTTACCTATAGTAGAAAAAAGTCTAATATTCTTACCTTAATATTGATTATAATATCAGGCTTCAAATTTAGGTTTTTAAGCAGTTCTACTTGCTGCAAAATAGTCATGGCCTGCTCTGAAAGTGATGGTATTTCAGTGATGACATAACCTGTGGAGTAAGATGTACTTTTTATGTCTTGGTATATATTATAGTATACATTTTTCTTAAATCAACATTTCACACTATAGCAGAATATATGTATACATGTTTATGTAAACTACAGAACCTAATAAAACAACTATGTATCCCACCCACAGTCACACAGTTTAAGAAACAGAACATTCTCAATGTGATTCTGGATTAGAACATCTACTGACTTGCACCTCTCTCTTGAAACCCAAGATTCATTGAAAATCACCCTATTTATTAATCACCCACATTCATTTCCTTTATATACTTACTTAATTATGTCACTCTCTTGTGAGAGAAACTTTCTTTTAGTAATAGAATAAATTTCAACTCCTTCATTGGAAATGGCCAGAGGCATCATCCAAACTCTAGGAAAAGTGTCCATGGAAGAACTGTGGGAGAGACAGCTATGTCTCTTAAGTTTGCCTCACCACTGAAGCTTTTGAGTGGATTTCTTTAGAAATCCTAGAGAGAAGTTAGAGATCTATGTGACCTCAAATCATCCTGATATGAGAGGAGATGTAAGACCATCCAAAATGTGATACAACCAAGGAAGGGACTGCCCAGACCAAGGCTATCACTCACTAGAGAAAACTTCTAGAAGCAACTAGGATGTATAAGAAAGTAGTAGAGAGTGACTTCTTAGGGTGCTTAGGTAGTGACTCTTCCTTTTTATCTTGGTGAGAAAATTCATGGAAACTGATTTTGGCTCAAGGCCAGAAAAGTATTATGGGTTATATATGAAAGCATTAGAATTAAATCTTGTATAAATTTCTTCTAAATAGACATAAAAGGTTCAAGTATAAAAGTGCTCTGGTATAGAAAAAAATTAACATCAAATTTGGCAATTGCCTACTATGCAGCAAAGGAAGGATTTGGAGTCAGCAATTATCCAGCCCCTCTCCCAAGTAAATATTCCTATTTTGAAAGCTCTTTACTTCCAACCTTTTTTCTACTATATAAGCAATTGCTGAGTGAGACCAAAATCCAAAGGAATCCTTGCTGCAAAAAGACTTTCACATTGTTTAGTGGAGTGCTAGGTGCCAAAGAAATTTTGGGGGGGGGTGCAAAGTAAATTTTGGGGGGAGGCTGGGCAGAAGTTCCCACCCTCCCACCAATGCCTTTAAATGAGCTTAGGTGTGCATCCTAGAATGTAGCCTTGTAATTTTATGCTGAACACATTAAATGGTACTAGGGAATGAAATCACAACATCTAGAATTCAGGAAAAAAATTGCAAATAGCCAGTTCCTTTAACAAAAACACAAGAGGGTAGAAAGAGGTTAAAGGGAACCTAAAGATTAAGAGAGATTTGAAACACCAATCAATAGAAATATGTGAAACCTGACTGAATTTCAAAAGACAAAAAGGATTTCAAGGAATTAGATATGAATAATGAAATGTGACTACAGACTGGTTAAAAGTCTGTTTATTTTTTAGTTATGATAATGGTAATAATGGGGTTTGAGTCCTTATCTTTCTTGAGATACATATATACATATAATGCTAAAAGCTTTAATTTTTTCGCTTACAAATTTAGAATTTGAAGAATAAAAACAAGTAAACAAGCAAATGAAACCACCAAAGTTGCTCAACTGAATTTAAGACTCCAGGATCCCCATGCAAGGGTAAAAGAAAGAACAACTCTAGATATTATTTGTGTATCAGATAAAGCATGCATTTCAAGGCTGCTTTATGAACTACTGATATAGAAAAATAAACATACCAAAGTGAGAGACTTCTACGGAGTTGAGCTTCTCTATCATAAGCTTTGTGACAAGTTCATCTGGAATGTTGTGACCAGTTAGCAGCATGGATTGCAACTAAGAACAAGAACAAATAGTGTACATTAATGTACCATAGACCTCTGATATAGAGCTTTCTACAAAAACAAAACAAAACAAAACAAAACACATTACTGTAAAATTTTGCTTTATTTACCATCTTTCCTGATGTTGTCTCATTGGCAATATGTTCTTCTAAAACTGACAAAGCTAAAATACAAATTTAAAATATTAGCAAGAACTAATATTAGATCGCCAAATTAAGATATGTAAGCTCTTATAACTGGTAAGAAAGAGTAACACTGCCTATCACTTTAGAGTTAACAAAGCAAGTTTATACACATTTATGTAAGCCTAACCAAAGTAAGAGGCAGCAGAATGTCCTCTCAGGGAACTTGTCTCTATCACTGGTTAAAGGATCCTGGGAAAGCTAACTTGCTAAACACCTCTGCTTCTCACTATGCCTTGTGTAGTAGGCAAGGGGGTGTGAGCATGAAATGATGGGGTGTATATGAAGGTGACTGGGAAAATTGCTATGTATTGCACAAAAATATGTATCAGTATTGTTAGACCAGGTAATTGCACAACAATATAGTTACAGTCAAAGCACATTAATTTGGCATTCTACTATATAAAAGGAAAGGAGGCATGAAGAAATGTTGAAATGGATAAACACTGATTAGAAAAAGGGTCCTGAGGTTGAAATTCCAAAGATTTGTTTCCTTTTTAAGAGGAAATATTATATGGCTTGCTCGAAGACATCCTGAGATGGAAATGACAGGGGCGTGGGGAGAATCCAGGAGCTGAATTATGTCCCTATGCTAATAATCTATGGAATGTTTGGTATCATTTAGATTTCCTACAAGTGAATTATTTTGAGAAAAGAAAAAGGAAAATCTTAAAGTTGTGTTTGTTTGTTTAACCGTTCTCTCTCAAATTGTACCAGACCACAATTTCACTAATAGCACATAGAGTGATCACTGCTAAAATGATTTTATCAATAGAAGCTTTAAAATTTCATTGTCACTTTGAAAGGCAAATATGAATCAGTGCTATTTTAATTATCATTTCTTTGGGTAACAATGAGGTTAAGCTTTTTTTTTTTTCTATTAATCTTTCTTTTTTCTATTTTTATGAGCCAGTGATTCATTCCTTTACTTATTTTTCTATTAGGGAATAAGTAGTTTACTAATTAAAAGGATATTTATAGATTAGGATGTGAACCTTTGTATGCAAACAATGCAAGCCAATTTATATATAAATTAAAAACAATTTTATTACCGAAGATAACTAGTTCCTGAAAAAAGGCACATATGGGTAACTATGAGAATTCCTCTTCATCTTTCATAGGGAGAAACCTCAAATACATATATCTTGAATAGTTTTCAATAATAGAATTAAAAAATTGGAGGCAATAGAATATAGTAATAGCCATTCCATAAACCCTCCTAAATTCTATGAACAAAATTAGAAGGGCCAAACCTGCATGATGCTTTAGAAAGAGCATCATCACTGGGTTGAGAGATGTATGATAAAGAAAATACAGTAAAATGTTGATCATAGAATCTACAGGGTGACTCTATGGGCAAATACATGTTCTTACACAATTCGTTCCCTCTTTATGTGCATTTGAAAGTTCATAACAAAATAATGGAGAAAAAAGGCAACGTTTACCTTCCACACGAATACATTTCCATGCCTGTGCTATGTGATGAGCCAATGTTGTCTTCCCAACTCCCTAAAAAGAAAGATGTTATGTAAAACCTAACAGAACAGCTGTTTGCCAGCAAACAGCTATTCCCATTTTTAATGAGTCCATTTATGGTTATTATTACTTCAATGTTACCAAGTAAAATTTTTCCCTACAAAATAAAGGTAGAGTAGACACTACATATTTATTGCTTCATTTTTCTCTCTAAGTGTCACATATGTCAAACTTTATGAAGTGATTTAAACAAAGTTTAAAGAAAAAATTTAAGTTGTATGTAGGGCACTGAACTTTTTGACAGTCAAATTTTGTAATTTTGAATACAAATCATTATGACTATTGAGAGTCATCATTTCATTTCCTTCCTGAAGTTTGTAATCATGAATGTTCAGACAGACTTCCATTTAGTAACTTTATGAGCTAAAATTTCTTTTTAACAGAATCTTTAAAAAGTATCATAGTTTAAAGTAATCACTTTAATAAAGTAACATTTCTGTTTTATTGTTTTCACTGTTGATTTTTAAAAGTCTATGGTGTTTTTAGAAATATAATGAAAAATACTGGAACCTTTGGTTCCCTTTCAATTATAATGTACAAAAAAATTTTAAGTTATACAATGAAAGTTTAGCAAATACTCAAAAAAAATTAGTACACTGTGGTTTTATTTTTGAATGGTTAACCTAAGGTTATAATTTTAGAAAACAAACTATGTATTGAATAATAAATTAGGGTAAATAACTTACTGGTTTTCCAAATATAACAAAGCAAACAGGTTTAGACAACAAAAAGTTTTGTTCAGCTTCATCTTCATTAAATATATCCACAAAAGGATGTTCCTCTGTCTTCTCTGGAGAAGTCATAATTTAGAATACTAAAAAAAGGAGTAAGGTCAGTAAAGCCCCTGGTTTAGTTTGAAAAGATAGGCATGTAGTCAGGAAGAATGAAGATATCCTATAAATTTACTTAGCCTAGATGCCATTCCATGCTACTAAATACACAGATTTTACCAATAATTTCAAGTTAAAGCCATCTATTTAGACAATAATAGGCTTTTAGTTTGACACAAAAAGCAAATCCAATTATGTGCTAAATAAAAAACAGATAAAACAGCTTCTGAAACACTAAATTAAGGTGAAAAATGCATATAGGTACACATATTCATACATGTGATTATGTGTATATTTTACCAAAGATCTATTAGTTATACTTACATACATACATATATATCTGTGTCTATATGTGCTTATATATATCTACAGCATATCCCTATCTATTTATACACACACTAATAACTATATCTACCTATGGCTGTATCCAGAAATAGAAAAGATATAGATAGATAAATTTGTTAGATTTATATCTTTTTATATATGTATATATATATATATATTTTTAAAGATTTATTTGTGCATACAGAACTGGGGTACAGGCCAGAGGTGCAGGGACGGTGAGAGGATTCACCAGAGGCAGAGTGGGGAGCAGAACAGGTAGACTGATGAAGTTCACTGCTGAGGGGAGCAGCGGGAAGGCCAGGAGAGGTCTGCTGCGCCATGTGGGTCAGGGTGCAGACTGAACTCATGCTGAAGTGGCGTTAGCTTCTTAGTGCTGCACTTTAACCTGCTGGGCCACCAAGCAGTTAAGGGAGCCTTCATTAATCTTATTAAGAAATTTTTTCCAGAAGTAATGTATTTTTTTCACTTTGTAATTTTCAATAAATGTAAAAACAAGTATTTGATTTTATATAATTTTTAGAATCTATTATTTTGGACTATGAAGTTAATATAACTCCAATTACAGTTTATGTATAAGAACTACATTACTTTTGAGTCAATCATCCAAATAGAATTCATATTTTTTGGATTTATGTTTTGTAACAAAGATCATGTCTTATTTTCAACTATCAAATTCTTTTATACTACTTACATATTCATATTTATAAAATATCTAAATAGGCCCTCCCTGGTGGCGCAGCGGGTTAAAGCGCAGCACTTAGAAGCTAAAGCCACTTCCGCATGAGTTCGATCCCCGCCTGCCCCGGAGGGATCCCTCATGGCACGGCAGACCTCTCCTGACCAGCCTGCTGCTCCTCTCAGCAGTGTACTTCATCTATCTCCCTGTTCTGCTCCCGGCCCTGTGTGTGGTGAATCCTCTCACCATGCCTGCACCTCTGGCCTGTACCCCAGTTCTGTATGCATAAATAAATAAATCTTTTAAAAATATATCTAAATATACTCATAGAATATTCCCATTACTTAAAATAGCATTAGGCATATTTCTTGATCACAATGAAAAAAAAAAAAACTATAAAGGTATGTTTAAAGCCCTATTTCAGAAAATAATACTCTTCTAGATATTATTTCTAGAAATATCAGAAAAATAATACTCTTCTAGATATTACAGGATTAAAGATGTTTTAAAGTGAAAATGAGAAAACATGGACAAAATAAAGTTAGTTGCTTTTTTATTAGAAATAATTAAAATGGGCTGGCAAAATATTTTTAAATTATTTTCTAAAAGCCAATAATTTTCATTTAAAGGAGCCATGTATACTATAAAATTTTGCTTAAGGATAGTAAAAAAGACCCAAATGAATAAAGAGCCATAATATATTTTTAGATGAAAAGGTATAGTTTTGTAATATTAATCACCCTACTAATACATAAAGTTAAATTTTTGTTAGTTCACTGACTATGTGTGTAAATTTCTGGATTCCCTTTATACAACCAACTTATGATAAAGGAGGCATTTAAACTTGGTAAATAAAAGATGAATTGTTTAAGATAACTGATACACACTCCATTTAAGTTGTACCTGTTTGCAACAGATAGGCTGAGCCCTTAATATGCACAATCTCTTGAGACCAAACACCTATGCAGGAACAAATTGATTACACAAGTGACATGTGTTCCCAGTATGGATTTGCATTCCATACGTGCTTTATCTTGCCACCATGTGAGGATTTGAGTGTCTCATTTATCATATGGGACCCCACATAATATTGCTTGAGTCAAAGGATCCTCTTTAGTACATGAGATATGAGGCATATGATCATGGGATCCACTGATCCAGCCACCTCACCTAGAAGCTGTCTTAACAGAATGTAGGAATGACCTCTTTAAGCCACCACTAGTTTGGGATCATTGAGACAATGTATTTAAAGTGAGGAATATACTTTGAGCCAGGGTTGGCAGCAGGAACGGCCCCTTCCACCTTTTCTGTCAGTCCTTCCCCACAAGTTTAGGCTCTGGAGGCCCAAGTTTTGATAGAGGAGAGGGATGCTTCTACAGGAGTTCCAGTTAGGTGTCACTAAACTTAAAGATCAAGATGCTGCTGCCACTTGGTATTGCTTGACTTCACAAGCCCATAAGGACCTGCAAGAAGAGAGCAGTTAGCTGCTACATAATTGGGCAGGGACATCTATATTTTGACCTCAGGGGATTCTCTGAGACTCCACTAATGTGCTCATGTCCAGTGAACGGGTAATTGCAGCAATCATGATCTGACAAGGACATGGATACCAGAGGCTTATAGGATTATACCTCTTCAGGAAGTATACCTACTGGTTGTCCTACTGGGAAAACAATTTAAACCAGCAAAAGCGCTGACCAAGGACAAAGGAAATCTAGATGAGAGGTACACAAGGCCAGTGATGATCAAGTACCAACCTAGGATTAATTGCAGTAGTGGATTCTGTAGCTTGTCCCACTAATTTTTGTTGTAAGTACATTTCTAAGAATTTGGGAGCACCTTAAAAAATCAGTGATATGACAGTGGGAGAAAGAGTGGATATGAGTGGTTCAAAGGCTGGAAGGCAGCTGATGCTACTAGTGCACTTGACATGTGCTTGATGTATACCTGTTCCATGCATGGCCAGCCCATTTCCAGCTGCTAGCCTATGCAGCTCTCTGGCTACCGGCTCTTCCCAGCTGCCAGAACCTATTCTATGTGAGCACAAGGCAGAATGGAAGTTCCAGGGAATAAATGTTCTACCTGACAAACCTCAACTAACAACTGATGTGAGATAGTGAATAAATACTCCAGCAGGCTCACTGCCTACTAGGAAGGGAGAACTCAGAGATATATTAGCCCAATATTTCCCAGCGAATTCAGCCCTCCAGAGAAATTTGCTTAATAATATTCCTTTTATTTAGCTTCTTTGCCTTCCCTACTGCTGTTTCCTGGGGTTCATTTCCATATAAACTAATTGCTCTCAAATTTTTGTCTCAAGATCTGCTGCAAACTAAGAGAAGGGCAAATGGAAGTGCTTAGTTATAGTATAATATGACAACTAAAAACTCAACATTGGAAACCACAATTCTATAGCTATTTTAAGATTTATTATCCTAACTAAAAACATTGTACACATATACATATATTTTTTAAATTTGTATTTCTTGTGTACCTCTTTAATTCATACTTAGAAGATTTGCTTTCCATAATAAAACAGAACTAAGTGATTTTTTTCAGTTAAAAGATCCAAGTTAATGAAAAATGCCAGAACCAACCTGGCTATCTTTCTAGTTCTTAATAAGAAGTGTACCACATCATGAACGAGAATAAAAAATAGTATTTAAAAAAACTTATAACTTTTCAAATTTGAATTTACAATGTAATCTCTAGAGTGGCAACATTATGTGTTTCTTCGGCATAGACTTCTGGTTTCCTTACATTTTTAGTTTCCTTACATTTATAGACTATTAGTTTCCCTCCACAGTGGGTTCTACTATTTATGAGGGACGCATCTCCTGGGAGACCGAGCACTTCCGTCAGGTTAAGTTAGTTGCCACTTCAGTAATTTTACTCTCATCATTAGTGCTCTTTAAGTATGGACAGAACGAAGACTAGTCGTTGAGAAGGGAAGTGGCTTTTAAAAAGCTAAAATTTACAGATATATCAAAGTTAAGTTTCGCAAAAGGAATCGCACTAGGGTCCCTAGAGGGGGTAGGATTCCATTTAATCGATACCAAAATACCTCCCGGCGGTGTACTTCGACCCTTTACTTACCTGTGGCCGCGGGCAGACCCCAGTGAACGCCACAGACCCGCTGCAGCAGCTTCCCGGGATTCGCGGGTCTGTTGAACGGTTGCCTAGGGAACTCCTGGCTGCACTGAGCGCGGGGCCTGTTGGGAACCCGGCTTAGGGAGTTGGGGACTTCGATTTCCCCCCTCATTTTAATAATTACTTTTGCAGCTAATTTTGTATTCATAATTTCGACACACTCCTTTTGATAAACAGGAAAGGTGACTATCAGTGAGGGAACATCAAATGGAAAAAAATCTTATTTATACCCAGAACTGCCTAGCTCTGAAGTTACACAACTCAGTATACACGATGGTTCATTTATAAAAGGTTAGTGGCGAAGTCCAAATTTCCACTTTAGCTAAGTAAAAAAAAAAAAAAAAAAAAATCCTTGAATTACACAGACTCTGTACAACATGGACTTGGTTAACACTTAAAGGACAACCTAAAGAGACGTGAGGAGAAGAAGCAATGCATAAATAAACAGGGGGCGGGGAGGACCAACTTGGGAATAGATCTGTATGCAACCTGGAGAACCGCTCCAAGAGAAGCGCTTCCGTTTTACCTTATCAACCAAAGAATGATTAACTCAAACACTTTCTCCACCCTTTTCTCTGCCCTCACCAAAGATGGCACCTACGGCTTCCGCGGCGGCACGCACGTTCTGGGAGCCTCTATACGTTCTCTCTATGGTACATCCTCCAACCCCGCCCCCTCCAGCCTGGGGCGGGACTAGCTTGGAGGTGGCAGGCGGGACGTGCAGAGATACGGAAACACCGGAATTATGGCCGGTCACCTCAATCTTTAGTGCCCAGACAGTGCTCATCCTAGCTCTCTTGCTGTGCAGAGGGTGAGGTGACGTCTCCCGGACCTCCTGTGGTATCCCGGCGGCTGCTGCAACCTGGGTTGTGGCCTGGTGCCCTGTTGCGGTGGCCAGCATTTGTTCTAGCCATGCCCGCGGCCGCCGCCCCCATCATCAGCTCGGTCCAGAAGCTCGTTCTGTACGAGACCAGAGCTGTGAGTACCGGGCGCGGCAGGGCGCGGGCGGGAGGAAGGCAGCGGAGCGACGGGGGCCTTCGGGGTCCGGCTCGTCCCCTCCCCAGTTCCCTGACCCTGAGGGGACACAGCTTGGGGAAGCTGGGGAAGGTGTCCTCCCCTGATTGTTGTTCCCAGGGCACCACTGCGTTTTCGTATACACAGGTCGCCTTAAAAGGCCACAGTTGAAACATACGGGAGACAGGTGCTGGTGTTACTGGAGAAACTCTTCAGGAGGTTCTGGTACGAGTCACAGGATTCTTTTCAGCTTTCAGAAACTCTGTTCGCGTTCTGCAGTTCACTGGAGTAGTCAGGAGTATGAAAAAAAGTTGACGTACGACTTTTCTGTTTTCCTGTTGCTAGGCATACATACCATCACTATGACTGATGGTAGTTTTATCGCTGAAAGCTTTTGTCCTTTCCTTTTTACTTGAAAGAAAAACTGTCGAGACAGCTAATTTGTTTGTGTAACATTTTGCTTTTCACTTTTTATAACATTTAAAAAAATTACTTCAAATTGCCATACAAATAGTTACTAGTAGAATAAGCAGATTAGGTTTTTTTTTTTTTTTGCTTGTTTTGTTAATTTTAGGTTACTAGTTCCCTAAAATTTAAGGAATAGTGTTTAGAGAAGTACATCCTTTGCCATCATTGTGGGTGGAAAATAAAATACAGTTTTTCTAAATAAAGTATTGCTTTTCTAAATTTTTAATATAACTGATTTTAGAGTCTGTATTTACAATTACACTACATGGTAAAAAGACTGGGTATGCTTACTACCTTTCCTTGTGCTATGGAATGTGTTATAAGGCACAATCAGGGGAACTTGAGTTACCTCCATTAGACAGAAGAATACAAGCAGGTACTTTTCAGTTATGTGGTGGTCTTAAATAGTGTATCTGCTTCAGGTCATCATTAGTGTAGAAATATTGTTGACCAAATTTTTGTTGATAACTTGATTTGATTAGAACCAGACCAGAAGGTGAAATTATCTAATAAGCTGTATTTGTAAATGCTTTAAATTGTTTTCTGAGGACAGTCATGTAAAAGTGTCACTTGGACATTGAAATAAAGCCTTCTGCTTTCTGTACTACATGCAGGTTAATAACTCTAGTTAGAAACATAAATACTTAAAACAGAAATTTCAGCCCTTTATAAATTGAGCATTCAGGAGAATTGAGAAGTTAGTGTTCTTTCTAAAGCACAATTTACATTTCTGCTCTGCTCAGAAACCTTCAGTGCCTCCCCATTTAGAGGAGAGTAAACTCTGAATCCTTTAGTTTGGCATTCAAAGCCATATTTAATTTGTCCTCAACTTGTCTGTCTGATCATATACCTAATTTAATATTAATTCTGCAAGCATTCATTGAGGATTAACTGTGCTTTTATATGTCTTATTCTGCAGTAAAATTGTTTTGCTTTCATTTACTATGTTGCGTTTTTCTGAATTTCTCCCTTAAAATTTTCTCCCCCACAACTCCCCCTCCCCCTACCCACCTCATTCACTGTCAAAACCTTGCTGGTCCTCATAGCCCACTTTTGTAATAACAGGAGATTCTCAATAGATACTGCTTGAGGGAATCCAACACAAAGAGGTGTGTGTTCTAGAACTAGCTCAGATCCTCTCAGTGATCTAAGTTATGGAAACTAACTTTGATGAGCTTAAAAATAAAAGGCAAATTTATTAGAAGCGTTCTGGGACAGCTGTTTCATAGATAGTCATGGATGGGGCTGAACCCCCCAGCCTCTGAAAAGGTACCAGACAGCAGGGTTTGAGAACCCTCTCAGAATGCTGGAGAAGGTGCTTATGGACAGAAGGAATCTGATGGACTCAGCTATTATTGGCTGTTTACCTGGGGAGATAAATATTGTTGTGACCTGGCAACAAAGGCCTATGGAACCAACATTTTGTTTCACGGAATGGTGGAGCCAAGGCAACCATCCTGAGTAATGTCTATTGCATTTCATTTCTGTCCTTTCCTCCTCAGTAAAATGGGTTATTCCTTTTAAAATATTTTTGACTTAAAAGATATAAACAGAGGGCTGCCCTCGTGGCACAGCGGGTTGAAACACAGTACTAAGAAGCTAAAGCCACTTCAGCATGTGTTCAATCCCTGCCCCAGATGTGACCCACATGGTGTGGCAGACCTCTCCTGACCCGCCCACTGCTCCCCTTAGCAGTGTACTTCATCAGTCAGCCTGTTCTGCTTCCCATTCTGTCTCTGACACTCTCTCTCACCACCCCTTCACCTCTGGCCTGTACCCCAGTTCTGTATGCATAAATAAATAAATCTTAAAAAAAAGATATAAACAGAAAGATCTTTATGAGTAATAAACTCAGTAAATAATTCAAAAAAAGGTTTAAAATCACTGACAACTCAGTAGATCATAGGAGTTAAAGACTGCAGCAGGTTGTATTAATGAGAATAACAGCTAGTATTTATGGACCACTATTGTGCCGTGAACTGTCAAAGCACTCTACATGTTTTATGTACCCCTTATAAAACCTCTGAAGAGATAAATGATGTTACTACTACTATTGTTATTATTATTCAGTGAAGAAAATAATGAGGCAAAGAGTATTACCAAAAGTGTGATCCAAGAAGTGGTGCCAGGCATGTGTAGTTTGTAACTGAATCGTGACAATTACTTATTGAAATTGAGTAGGCGATAAGAAAATTTTATAGCATTTGGACAGAGTAAGTTATATTTATGATGACTGAGATAATTGAGAACACTGAATTTTTGGTTTGTGTGTTGTTTCTTTTTTTTTCTTAGCTTTTTTATTATGGAAATTTCAAGCCCTTAAAAGTTAACAGAATAGAATAATGAACTCCCAGTATCCGTCATCTAGCTCAAAATTTGTCACCCTTCATTTTCTGTTACTCATTCTACTTTCCACCTATCACTCATTATTTTGTAAGGATTTTTTTTTCCTTGAAATTTACATAAGTTGAAATGCACAAATCTAAGCTGTAGAATTTGAACAAAAGTATACAGGTGTCAGCAATACTGCTGTCATGATATGAAACATTTCTGTCACCCTGAGCAATTAATCCAGCCTTGAGGCTCCTACTGCGCATGCAGCTCAGTTCACCTAGGAGGTGCCCACAGGGATTTAGAATCTGGTTTCCAGTGTGAAACTAAGGGATCAGGAGTTTACTCTCTTGATATGGAGGAGTGGGGGGACATGAAAGGTTTCTGAGAGGAGACTATAATATGAGTCATACTTTAGAAAGAACAGCCTGAAGTTATCCTGGGGGAAACTGCAGTTTGCCTTAAATTCCAGTTTTCAGGTGCTGTTGTTTAGGATGTGATGCAGTAAGTGACCATTTCATGACAAAGAAATGAACACTTACCGGTTGGCTTTACAATTGGTAACTGAATAGAACTACTCAGATTTTTGTGTCTGCATGTATATTTTGTAGGGGGTGAGTCTGTTAAGAGTAATATTTACTCTTGCTAGCTCAAGATTGTTAGTATTTATGTACAGGTTTCCCCTGCTATCTGAAAGTAGAATTTTTCTACTTGGTATCATTTATATGATATGGAGAGAGAATGAGTCTGGGAGTGCTTTTGCCATTATTTTCTATGGGAAAATTTTGGAATATTCTCAGACCCAAATAATAACCAGCCAAATCATACCAAATTGGAATGTTCTACTTACAAATAGTGGGGGAAACCTATATATGTGTATGTAATTCTTGAGTTATGCCTTAATTTTGGTGAAACATCTTCAGTTTATGTACTGTAGTATTTTTGATGTGAAGCATATCTGAAAATGTTCTTACCCTACCCTCACATTTGATTTATAGATTTAATGTTGAATTAAGATTGAAGTAAATTTGCCCTTAGAATCGTGAAGGCACCACATCCCTGTCTTCACCTTCCATTGTAGCTATTGAAAATTCTCAAAAATTAAGGATTTAAGGAAGGTCTTCCCTTCCCCTGCCCATCTCACCAAACTGAATAAAATGAGAACCACATCATGAGGAATACAGTTGACTTAATTAGCCATGGTTTGTGTAATTAGGGAGTGGGAGATAATAATATAGCCTGAGGTTGATTAAGGGTTCAGAGTGGGAAACCAAAAAATAAAAAGTGGGAGTGAGAAGCATAGTATCTGTAGCTGATTTAGGGTACAGGTGGAGGTAACAATTCTCTGCTTGTCTAGAGAGAATTTGAAGTTTCCCCAACAGTAAAACCCTTGAAGCTCATAAAAGTGAACTGGGAAACCTCCCTCTGACTATCGGAGGCTCATTTTTCTAGGTTGCACTGCCGGCTTTGACGAAGGAGTAAGTGAGGTGGCAGGCTTGTAATACTGTTAGACTGTGAGAAATAACTTCATGGAGATCTGTTCAAATAAAACCTTTAATCTGAAAGTTCAAGTGAAGTTTAACACTAATTGAAGCTGTCAGACAACCTAAATTTTCTTCTCTTTCAAGAGAATATTAGAAATTATTATTAGAAATATGTGAAAGATAGAGCTGATTTTCCTGCCTCAGATGAAAAGTGAGTGATTAATTAGCCTGCCATGATAAAAGAAGATAATAATGTTAGTAGATTGAGTTTCCTGTTAAATGGATTATCTATTGTATTCCATTTGGAGTTAGTGTATTTATTTTAGAACTACATTCATCTTATACGAAGCCACCATGTTAGAGCTGCATGTTAAAGTTTTAAGCTTTTTCTTGAACAGAGATGCTTAACTTGAAGAGAGCAAGCTCAGATCATCTAGCTGAATAGACATTTTAACACACTTTTAAAAAAAAGTCCTCATTCTCTACCCTAACGCCTCCCAACACCACAGTCCTCCTTCCACCAATGCCCAGCATATCTACAATTGTGGCATGTCTTTACCTGAACAAACCTTTTCCACTAGAATGTTAATTCAGTCTGTATATGCACTCAGTCTCGATGATGGATGTCTGGTTTATGAAAACCCTGTGAACTCCAGTTAACTGCACTCTTTGCTTCCCTCTTGCGTATGGGCATTTTATTTTCCTCCTTTTTTACCTTTATCTAGTGCAAGCATGCACAAGGCAAGTTCACTTGTCCATTCCACTAGATGGAAAGGAGAGTCCTGGAGCCCTCGATAGATTTTACCAGCCTTTAGCAGTTGGAGCAGGGAACCAGGAACATACACACGAGGCAGGCAGGTGGCTTGAGAGGAGGCAGGCACTGTCCGGGCCAGGGGGTTAGGAGGCAGGCGGGGAGCGAACTTCCCAGCCCCCAGTGAATCTCTGCATTCACTCTGGCCTCTGTCTGACCGTCAGCCTGTCATTGATGGTCTTGCATGGACTGGGTCGTCCTGCCTTGCTGCCGCCGCCGCTGCCTTTAGTCCACTCCTCGGCACAGGTGTGGGTACTTACACATGCGCGCACACGCGCTGTAGGTGGCCACAGCCAGAGGTGCGCATGCCCGGTGGTGCACACGTCCTTCTGCCTGGGCATCCATACAAGCAGCTAGAGGGCGGGAAAATGCCTGGTTTTTAACTTCATTTATCCTACACATTACCATTTGAACTTCAGACTGCCAGTAGTTAAGTTATTTCCTTCTTATAATCCGTAGTTAGAATTTACAATGAGTTTAACCCCAGCTCTCCCAGGAGTGTAATTTGGGTTCTCTATGTGATGATTTTCTTGTTTCCCCACGTTCTGTACCGTGTTCTTTCTTTAGATTTACATCTTATTTTAGGTGGAACATCTCCAGCTGCTTCGTTAGAAAGGGTTCATGTACTGTAATATTTGTGATCTGGAGGATGTCTGATAATATTCCTACTCTGTCCTCACATTGGATTGATAGATTTTATGTACCACATCTTTTTAATCCAGTCATCCACTTTTGCGCATTTGGGTTGTAAAAGAGATATTTTAAGGATTCTTGGAGACATCTTAATGTGGATTGTGAGATAATATTGTATCAGTGCTATTACAATTATGTTGGAGGATGTCCTTGTTTATAGGAGATACATTTTAAGGTTTCTAGGTGTGATGTGTTGTGATACCTGCAACTACTTCCCAAATGGCTCAGGAAAAAAAAAATCTCAGGAAGGAGGAAAGGAGGGAAAAAATGTAGCAAAATTTTAACAATTGGTAAATCTAGGTGAACGGTATATGGATATTCACTTTACTGTTCAGTTAATCATAATTTTAATGTACTTAATTAAAAAATAAACATTTAAAAAATCAGTGGAGAAAAATTTAAGGAAAAGATATCTCAGGAAATTTTTTTTTTTAAAGATTTACTTATTTATTTGTACAGAACTGGGGATAGGCCAGAGATGCGGAGGGTGAGAGGATTCACCAGAGACAGAGCGGGGAGCAGAACAGGCAGATCAATGAAGTACACTGCTGAGGGGAGCAGCAGGCGGGTCAGGAGAGGTCTGCCACACCATGTGGTCACCTCCGGGGCAGGTGGGGATCAAACTCATGCTGAAGTGGCTTTAGCTTCTTAGTGCAGTGCTTTAACCCGCTGCGCCACCAGGGAGGGCCATCAGGAAATTTTTAAGTTCTTAAGTGCTAAGGTCCATTTGGAGCATAATATTACATATAATGAAGACTAAGAATACACACTCACGACCCAAGTCCCCCCCATACACTTAATTAGTTGATATATTTAATTGGAAGCAAATAAAACCAAGTGGAAAGCAGCCAGATGTCCACCAGAGAGCAGTGCAGGAAAATGATCTGTTCACAGCAGGCTGACAGACTTTTGCCTATTAGTGATCCACATGAGGTCGCTCTAATCTGCAGAAACATTTTTAGGAATCAGCCCACGTAGAGGAGAGACAGTAGAGGAGAGACAATGTGGATTTTTATACTGTCTCCTGTTTCTGCCTTCCTGCTCAGATAGGCTTCTAAATTCTGTAGATTCTAGCTTTTGACTCCTCGGCTTGTTGGAGTCTTTGGAAGAATCTGAACAGGAGGTTAGCTGGTATCTGTACTCCAGAGACCTGCAATGCATTTGTATCTCAGGAATTATATCTTTTTACAAAGTGCCACATCACATCTTATTGCAGTTAATCCTTTAATTTTCCAGTGTCTATGAAAATTCAAGGACTTTCATTCAGGGATTTTTACCTCTCTTAAGTGGTTGAATTTAACAGGTCATCGTTTTGTGTGCTTAACCAAAATAGATGGGTTCGTAAATAAATTTGGACAGGGAAAGAAGGGGTGGATGGAACAGGTAGGTAAAGGGATTAACTTGATAGTGGTAATAGTACTAGAACTTTGGTTGTGAATACAGTATGTGCACAAACATTTATACAAGTGTTAGTGAAGCAATACTCCTGACTTACATAATATTGTATGCCGATAGTAGATCAAACCAAACCAAAAAAACCTATCAACATAGGTTAGTGTAAAGGTTGTAGAAAGTTACCTGGAAAATTAAATCATTCTGTGACATGCACTTCTTCTTTCACTTGCCAGGTATACCATGCCTGTAGAACTAGATTGCTATGAGACTGGGGAATTAAAAACCACAGAGGTTACCAAGTTAGCTTCTGTATGCTGCGGTGCTTATAATTAGGTGAAGGGGCACACATGATCGTAGGAAGTAAGCACTGAAGTTAGATTTAAATAAAAATTCTTAGGGAATGGGGCTGGGACAGCGACAAGTGATAAGAGAGGAGTATTTGTAAGGGATATGGTGGATATCATCTGTTTGATCTTGGTTCAGTATAGAATTACTGTTTAGAGATCTTTCAAGATCAATTTTAGCACCAGGGCAATACCTACTTCTTTTGGTAGCTTACTGACCCTTTACCAAGTGAACTAAATGACCTTCTTTGTTATCATTGCATCCAGTTCACACAGCATGTCATTCATGGTAGGTTGTATGGCCCTCTCTTCTGAGGACAAAGACTGGTTACTAATAGACATGTGCATTCTCTCATTCTACTTCCATTCTAGTCCTTGACATATTTTACTTTCTCTGGAATACTCTCTTTTTTCCTGTTCCTTACCCCTTGGTCTGTTTTCTCAAATGCATCTACTCCTACACATTTAGTATTAGAATGATTTAACCAAGCGCTCATATTCTGATATAAGTGAAATCTTACTTTAGAAACTCTTACCCATTCTTTAAAAATCAATTGAATTCTTGACTCTACTATTTTCTGCATATAGAGTAATCACATTAATTTCTTATGCTTGAAATTCCAGCGGTCTACATCCTTCTGTTTGACCTTTAATCTCAAAAATCTTATTTCGGGCCCTCCCTGGTGGCGCAGTGGGTTAAACACAGCACTGAGAAGCTAAAGCCACTTCCACATGAGTTCGATCCCCACAAACCCCGGAGGAGATCCACATGGCGCGGTAGACCTCTCCTGACCTGCCCGCTGCTCCCCTCAGCAGTGTACTTCATCAATCTGGCTGTTCTGCTCCCCGCTCTGTCTCGGTGAATTCTCTCACCCTCCATATCTCTGGCCTGTACCCCAGTTCAAAATGAATAAATAAATAAATCTTTAAAAAAATTTTATTTCTTATTTAATTGCTTTATGTGTCTATGGCTTATCTAACTAATGAGATGGAAAGATGAAATTGATTGTGGCAATATCTTAATTTTTTCAAGATTGAAAAAGTACCACTTTTTAAATGACATTTTGAATAAATATCTTTCAAATTTTATTTTTGCTAGTGAAGTTTTATTTTTTATTTTATTTTAATAGTTTATTTTTACATCATTTTGTGCCTTTTTCCATCTCAGTGATTGAAGTTTTATTTTTTAATACAATTTAAAATTATCTCGTTTAGGTTTTCATAAAAGACTTTCATTTGACTATAAGATAGTTGTTTTTCTACAGTTTTATTTTTCATCCTAGTCTCAGCATTCATTTAAGAAGGCTAATGTGTTCAGGTATAAAACTCAAAGGAAGTGTATCAGAAAAGAAAGAATATTAATTATTTCCTGAAGCTTATCTATAAAAAGCCATTTGGGAAAGTACACTCACTTTAATCTTTCATAGGACTTCAGGGTGGAATTTTGTAGTTGCTATAATAAAGTCATTTTCAGGCTTCTAGAAAATTTGTAAAGAATTATTTGATAAAATATCAATATTTTAATAACTATGATTGTCTAAGCATTCCTAATTATATGTTGAGCTTTCTAATTCTTACCAGAGCTGCTTCTTCCTGGCAAGTTTAAACATCAGTCTCCAATCAGTTAGGTTAATCTCTATATAATGTAATTAAATTCATCTGACCTGGTTACTGGGTACATTTCAGATATCAGACTGATGCTTATCGTGACACCATTGAGAATATTTCAATTTCAATAAAATTGACCTTTTGAAACCAGCTTCCCTTAATCTGCCATAACACTTAACAGAACTATTTCTTTTAAAAGTAACCTGACTTAATATATTTAATGTCAAAAACTGAGGGGTTATAAATCTGTGTAAGGTAAATGTCTTAGGAAACTGACAGCATCTTTTTATTTGTAGAGATATTTCCTAGTGGGGAGCAATCATGCAGAAACAAAATACCGTGTTTTGAAAATTGATAGAACAGAACCGAAAGATTTGGTCATAATTGATGATAGGGTAAGTATCTTGCAAACATGACTACATATATGTTTATACCTGTTGTTTAAAGATATAAAATATCCTATGGCTTATGGTGATATATAATTTTTATAAGCATCTAAATAAAAAATTATTTTTCATGGTTGGTAATAATGAACCTCAAATCTGGTTTCCAGAAATTACTGCTGACAAGAAGTATGCCAGAATTATGCTTTGTTCCTCATTTTGATTTGTTTTACAAAGCAAATTCTGAGTAAGATAATGAATATGTTTTCTCAAAGGGTTAACATTTTAAGGATTCAGTCTAATACTTAATGTTATATCTACAATAGAAGTTTTTTTTTTTTTTGTAATTGTGCTTTAATGTGAAGTTACTTGAAGTCAAGGAAGACTTTGTTACTGCAAATGTTATATTATTGTGCTGTTAAAAATCTTTTTATGAGAAGTGTTAAGCTGTTCTTAGCATTAGGTTCTATGCACTAGAGAAGTGTTAAGCTGTTCTTAGCATTAGGTTCTATTATCCAGAATTACGAAAAGGATTAAGTCAGGTGGCGCAACAATATGAGGCTGTTAGTCAAAGTGAAATACAGTGGTGGTGAAGTAAAGTTAATTTTAGCTCATATAAGAGAATCTAGAAGTTCACGCCCGTGGCTACTTTGGAATGTATGTAGATTCTTGATAGCTCAAATATATCAGAGGCTATAGTTTAGAATCCATTTCTATTAAGTTCTTTGCAAATCTGTTGTCTACATACAGGTATTTAGGTAGGCTGTATAGTGTGATTTCCTGTACTTCCCCCAATAAGCTAAGAGATTTTACTAACACAGTGTAATGATTATTGGCTTTATTTGAGTGTGGGAATATTTGATCAGGGATCTTTTTGAGAATCAAAGCCCTGGGCTTTCTCATAAAAACACATATTTGTTTATACCATCAGAACTTCACATACAGTTTTAAGGAGTTTACAGATTTTTTTTGGAAATTTCTTAAATCTCCGAATCTCTGGTTCAGAATAAAAGGTTTTGGCACAGTTTTTTAGTAAAGCATCATGTGATCCAGTAGCCAGTTTTACCTTTGAAGAGTGTTAGCTTTTAAAGTTTGTGGTTTAACCAAGCACTGTTACATACTTCTTTATGGAACACCTAATGATAGGCAACTTAAAATTTTTCGGGGAAAAGATAATCTAAGCACAACTTGACAGTTTCATTTTACTTATTTTCAGCATGTATATACTCAACAAGAAGTGAGAGAACTTCTTGGCCGCTTGGATTTAGGAAATAGAACAAAGATGGGACAGAAAGGATCTTCTGGATTGTTTCGAGCTGTTTCAGCTTTTGGTGTTGTAGGTAAGAAAAATGCCTCCCTTTTACTATGTACAAACAGCTTGCAAGGATATATTGCTTTAGATTTATGACCCAGACACTCTGGTGGCTTGGGTTGTTTAAAGCTGCATTATCCATCAGTCATCTTTCAACAGCCCTTATATAACATCCGCCCGGTATTCTGCACTTTGTTCAGTTTTATACAAGATACAAACAAATGTGGACGTGGCTTTGGCTTTTAAGGAATCTGTTGTCTGGTTTGTTGAGAAAAGAGAAAGTAAAAATTATTTCTACTGTAAATATTTGCCCTGCTTTAAAAGTGAGTACTTTCTCCCAAGGAAATGATACAGCTATAAAAGGCCACCGCCTCCTTCTTTAAATGACTATTCTTTCTTGCTTGCTGAGAAACTTGGTTCTCTAGCATTAAAGTCTGTTAGAAATTTTATCAGTAAGAAAAAACATCCTTCTCTTGCCAGGAAGATCTAAGTCACTTTGACCTGGAGAAGCAGCCTCAATTTACAACTCAAGCAGAGCCTCAAAGAAGGGTTTCTGTGTATGACCATCAGCTGCCGTGCTCACTTTAATGTTTTCCAGGAAATGAGGCCCCTGAGTCTGTTTCTTAAGCCAGACTTGATGTTTATCTCTTGGTCCTGCATTGGTTTGACCCTCTTCATCTAAATTTTACCTAAATTCCACACTCCCTCCAAGTCCTGTAATAACTCCTTTATTTATTCACAAACAAATGTAGAATGGTTTCACTTGCAAGGAGTCTGCTCTCTGGCTGGTGGGGCATTTGTGAGATGTGTTTCCCATTGCAGTAGGTCAGTAAAGCTGTCTTTGCTATACTCTGGATTTCTCCCTGGTGGTCTTAGGTTGATGGATGAGGATGGGGGATAGAAACCAGAACACATGACACAATTTAAAAATTATCAGAGCCAACCTGCTTAGTGAAAGGTAGATGACATTGGAACTTATATAGAGGTAGATTACTTGGCCCTGGAATGTCTAGGAAAGATTTCTTGGACAAAATGAGGCTCTTACTGTACCTTGTAAGAACCAAATTTGGATGGATGAAGGGAAGAGATGAGAGATCTGTAGGAGGCATGACAGCAAAGGTACAGGCATGAAGATGCCTCTGGCTGCTTTACTGTTGGTGAGTGCTACGGTGGCCAGATCCTTCAAGGCCTTGGATGCCAAGCAGAGGGCAGTTGCATGTCAGCAGAGCCTTGTTTTGGGTCTGTTTTTAAAAGTCACTCATAAAATTATCTCTGTGCTTCTTAAACCTACTGGATATATGTGATATTGGTAGACTCACTGGTATCTAAAGATGTTAACTAAATGAATATGGACTTCATTACAAATTCTTGCTAGGTTTTCTGATAGTACTTCCTATTTTGTGACTATATTTGTTGAAACTCTGATTATATTCTCCCTTATGTGATATCTGTTTTCTCACTGTGCTTCATAACTCTTTATATGTAAATCCCTTCAGGTCTTTCTGTGGCTTAGGTAGCTGCCAGGGAAGGTCAGGAGTGGTAGGTGTGATTAGATTTTCCTCAAGATGGTCCCTTTTCTATACTTTTTACCTAGTCTTGACAAGTCCCTTGAGACTACGTGTTTAGGGAATAAGAGTTTGTGGACACGTGTACTTCTTTGTGTGTCTTTTTAGTTCATGTGTTTCAATTCCATATATACCATGAATGTTAAATTCCATTTTAAGTGTTGCTTATATTTGAAATTAAGAAAAAACCCTGAAAATAAAGTGGGTCTTAAATATATCAGGTTAAATTTAATATTAGTTACTTAGTAAAGTAAATATATTCCTTTCGGTGCTGATACTTTGTATGCCTATTTCTTTAATGGAATTTTCCTAAGATACCAAATACCTCATTAGCCAGGGTTTACTATTCAAAATTGAACTTTCCTTGATGATTAAGTCTAATGACGTGCAGATCAGTTATTGAGTTGTATTTAAAAATAGCTGCCCTTGGATAGTCTGAAGTTGTATAGAACAGTTTACCTTTATATTCAATTATCCCCCAAACTACTGTTTTGTTTTTATGGCAATTTATTCTTTGTTGTTCCAGGCATGTTTGTTTCTATCAATATTTCTTACCTCATTTTAAGTTTATTGTTAAATTAGCTGTAAAGCCAAAAGCTTTATTTTAATGAATTGGTAACCACGTTTATAACCAGGTGTTTATTTTATACACAAGTACTAGTTAATAAACTCGGTGAAGACTGAAAGGGATTTTGTATTTTACTTAAAGGTTGACACAAGCTATGCAGTCTCTATCAACTGACATATTACAGATAGAGACGAAAGTGCTCTGAAAAATCAGAATTTCCATGCTAACTTATGTTATGACCTTCTTTTTTTGTAATATCAAAATATTCTAAGCAACCATCAGCTTAAGCCAGATTGCCTTAGCCTCATAAGGTGCTGCCTGGCTCAGGTGAGCAAGCACTGCCCAAGACAGGAAATTCCTCAAGAAAGCAAAAGGCTGATTAATAAAAACAATTCTAACACAATCAATATTGTAAGACAAGGCAGTACTAGAACATGCTAAAAAATAATTAAAATTCTTTTACTGCCCACCAGAACCCAAATCTTATCACTCTACTCTCTTATTTAAGCTTTTATTGGTCAGTCTTTAAATGAGGAATCTTACTATCTCCCTTAGTGATTTATCTACCAGAAAACTCCTCCAGCCTAGTCTTCAACCTTACTTTACCCTCTTTCACAACTTCTCCTTGGCCTGCAACCTCACCTTATCCCCCTTCACATCTCCAGCCCAGCCTCCACCCTAGTCCTCAACTTTACTTTACCCTATAAGTTGTCTCAATGAGAATGAAGATCATTAAGTAGCATTTAAGGTTTAAAGGGACTTTATTTTAGCCAATAAACACTGTAGTAAATATAACAATGTTAGCCTTAAATTTTATGAATTTATGTACCTATCTTAACTTTAATAGATTGATTTTAAGAATAATGAATGTTATATCTCAGCTAAAGGGCAATACAACCCTAAACTGTTCTTAGAAAAAAAAAGATGACTGTAACCTCTCAGCCCAGTTCATGTGCTGATGTCATCCCACTGCTTGCTCCTAATGTATAAAATAAACTTCTGCTAAAGGCAGAACAGGAAGACTTGTACCCAACTCCAATTCCCGTGTCTTCCTCGCTCCCCTTTCCCCTTTTTCTCCTTTTTCCCCTTTTTTAGACCCTGCCTGTGATGAAGGGAACAAAGGGTCTCTGACAAAAGGTAACATTCTTAGGTGTTGTCTAGCTATTTCTGTAGCAAACTGAGGCCTTTTATATTTGACACTTCTTAGATGGTGAAATTGTAAAAGACTAACCTATCAGTAAAGTGACACAATAATGCACTAAGAATCATTTATTATTTTTGTGGAAATGCATTTTATGTATTCTAACTTGGCCATGAAAATAAGCCTTAGGATAGTGAAGAGTACACAGGGAGTTAATAAAAGCTGTGATTGTCTAGAAATAATGAGGGGTACTGAAATAGCAACATACAAAATATTTCTCTTTGAAAACTGTACAACCTAGTTGTCAAAACAATTCTTATGTGGACCAGCTAGAATGGTTGTCTCTTTTTCTTTGGCTGTAATATTCTCCCTGCTAACCTATCCAACATGGTTAATTTATGAATAGTATTTTGGCCGGAATGTTTTGAACTGTCATTGTAGTCTGTTTATTTCACAAGTTGTAAGAATCTCGAGTGGTAATTCTTGACTAGTTGTAGTAAAGGACCAGATTTTTCCCCCACCAGTATGTCACTGGGCGACACATTTCTCTGTGAATAATTGGTCTGCACCTTGTGTGTCTGCATCACACAAGTTCAGTAATACCCAAACTAGTTGCACTGTGTTCAAGGCAAGTTCATTGGTCATGCCCAGGCATATTGTGGCAACCTCAAATTGCTTTCAGGTTTACAAACCCACACACCAAAAGTTTGTCACTGGTCCATAGACATGAACTGACCTAGTCCTTTAGCTGCCTTGCCTGCTTCTGACCCACTCCATTATTATTTGACGGCCAGCAAGAGGTTTCGGAAATCAAGAGATGTTTTATCTGGTCCCAGCCACATGCATGGAGCTGGTGATCCATGGTCTGCAACCCTTACTACTGTCAGCAGAGTGACTGTCAGCCCCTTCTGATACGTAATCTTTGCTCTGTGTTCTTTTTCTGCCTTTTAAGCTCTGTAGGACAAGGGTAGAATAAGTGTCACTGTAGTAAATTAAGTAGAGGACTCCACTGTTATTTAAAATAACACCCTTAGAAATAATTGCAGATCAAAGATATTGAAAACAACAACAAAGAGTGAGTAAGGGTGAAGTGGATTTGTTGTTAGTGAGTCTGTTTGGTTCCAGAGGACCCTGTTACACATAGGCTCTGTGTACCTTGTGGAGGTTTGCCATACTTCTCTGGCAGAATGCTGTTCTCTCTGAAGGCTTTCAACATAGTGACTATTTTGGTGGCCCCCACCCAAGATTTGTGTAGACTCGACGCTACTCCATCCTCCCATACTGTCCTTTTAAATATATTTTGCTGATAGCTGGTCTCCAATGACACACCCCTCTCAGATTGAACAGGGACAAACACTTTTGTATGATGACTGTCCTCTAGGCTTCTGGGAAGTACTCAGTAAAATTGGTCTAGGATCAGAAGTACATAGAATGAAGATGAAAAAACTTATTAT